TAGAGTGGGAGGGAGAGCGAGGAAGAGAGAGAGAGAAACATTGATGTGAAAGGGACACATCGAGTGGTTGCCACCCGCACGACCCAACCAGGACCGGGGACAAACTGCAACCGAGTTACGTGCCCTTAGCCGGAACCGAACCCAGGTCTCTGGACCGCAAGCTGATGCTCTAACCGCTGAGCCAAACTCGTCATGGCTTGCTGTTGATTTTTAAACTTAAATTTATATAAAAGCAATCTATATCATTGTCATTAATGGGAAACCTGTTACTTGCCCTGAGACAACAAAACCATAAAAATAAGTACAATGAAAGCAAAACAAAAAGTCTTAACTAGATTCTGGTACTTGTGAAATTGAATCTGAGACCTTTTCCTTCCCTGTTAACAAAAGGCATTAGCAAGTACTTAAGAAGTAGCAGGCTAACACCAAACAGACTATCTCCTTAATATAAAGGAAATATTAAGATACCAACTTTCTCATTGTGAGTATTATCTAGTGCTGTCTGCAAGGACCACCTAAAAACATTTTGGTTGGCTTGTTACCCATGCTTTGGAAAACATTGCTTTAACTGATGCATCGTCTTTTTTTTGTGGTTGTTAATCCTCACTGGAGAATATATGTGTGTGTGTATATATATATATATATTTTTTTTTCCCATTGATTTTTAGAGAGAGTGGAAGGGAGGGAGGGAAGGGGAGAGAGACAGACAGACAGACACATCGATTGGTTGCCTCCTGCATAACCCCAACAGAGGCCAGGGATCAAACCTGCAACCCAGGTATCTGCCCTTGACTGGTTGGCCCAGGACCCTTTAGTCTTTGGGCCAACACTAACCGCTGAGCCAAACCGGCCATGACCTGATGCATCATCTTTTGTTTCCTCTGCCTGATTTGTGGATGGTTGATTTTGATTTACTCCTGTTATTAAGGAAACAACACCAATCTTTATGATCAAATCACAGTCACCCTAAGTTAGTTTCTATTTTTAATTTTTTAAATATGTGTTTATTGATTTTTTTATAGAGAGAGGGAGAGAGAGAAATAGAAACATTGATGTGAGAAACATCGATCGCTGTCCCCTGCATGCTCCCTACTGGGGATTGACCTGCAACCTGGACATGTGCCCTGACCAGGAATTGAACCGGGACCTCTCAGTCCATGGGACGATGCTCAGTCCACTGAACCTCACCGGTCAGGCTTAAGGTAGTTTTTAAAAAGACTTATTAAAAAGACAGACTTAGGATATCATATTTTTTGGCCTGTTTTCTCCAAGGGTTACATAATTTATATCCAGAGTCAGTAATGTAAAATGAATATAAACTTTTCCCAAAAGACTCAGCAACCAGTTAATTGGTAGTCACCGAGAGAGGCATCCAGGAAAGGGGAGCCTGACAGCAGGCTGAATGTGGTGGAGTGTCTTAGTTAAACAAAAAAACTTTTGCCCTGGCTGGTTTGGCTCAGCGGTTGGAGCGTCGGCCTGCGGACCAGAGAGTCTCAGATTCAGTTCCTGCTAGGCCCTAGCGGCTAGGAGCACGTACCAAAAAAAAAACAAAAAAAAAAAACAACAACTCTTGGGTGCAAGGAACAGAAACCCACTGATACCAACTCTGGTAAAGGGAGGATGCCATAAACCCTTGTGAGAGCCGAGGGCAGGAAGGCAGGGGTTTAGGGCCTCATGGAAACTGGAAAGCTGTTAGGATCAGAAGCTTCTTTTTCAGACATTCATCTCTGCTTCTTTCTGTGTGTCTATTCTTTTCTCTGCTTGGTTCTTCAGACTTTTTTTCTTCTGCTTATTAATTTACCCAGGGCTCAACATGTTGACTTTGTGGCCACACCAAGCTGTGGCTAGAGGATTGAGAGGTCATTAGCCTCTACCTACAAGCTTAATCAGCACTGCCCACCCCCTCATTTTTTGATAAAGGTAATATGACATTTAAAATTTCTTTTATAAATGTTATGTGAATGAAGAGACAAGAGATAACTCCTTTTCTTCACTCACCATCAACCAACTTGCATCCCTAATTAAGACTCGGTCAAAAAAAAGGAAATTCCTAAGCTGCTACTGGTAACCTCAGACTTACATGTAACGCCCTCCAAATGAGCTTTAGCTTTCCCTTTAGAGCCTTGTTAACTACAGAGGGGAAAGTTTAGTAGCCTTGTAGTCCTGACCTTTGGCTTGATCCACTTATGGGCAGATCCTCAGATATGGCATCTCATCAAAGATGTCCACTTTTTGAGAAAGCTTCAAGATATGTTCTGTAAACCTGGAATCTTGTAGGACTGAGTCAGAAGTAATTTAGAACTGACTCAGCATGAGATCAGCATCAGGTCTTTAGGAAGAGGTGTCACTTATAGAGCTGAAGTATCTCTGTCATATTCTGTAAAGGACAAATAAAGGCCTGTTGGCTGAGCTATGGATTTAAGAAAACTGATATTAGATATTTGAGTATTCAGGCTGAGATTATATGCTTTTCGAGTTCTTTGATTTTTCAGTCTATTTACCTGATTATTAAGTCTTTGATCTTCCTTTGTAGGTTGTGCTTTTCTCGATAGTAGGCTCTTTTTGACCCTTTCCCTTACATCGTAATTCCTTCCAGAGTAAGGCTTTTTAAAATGTTTTTATCTAGTGTTATTGGTGCTCTTCAATGTATATATTTTTTGAATGTGTTTTTATTGATTTTCTAGAGATAGAGGAAGGGAGAGATAGAAACATTGATGTGAGAAACATCTCTTGACTGCCTTCTGCACGTCCCCAACCAGGAAATTAAGCCCACAACCCTGGCATGTGCCCTGACCAGGAATCGAACTGGGACTGCTCAGTCCATGGGACGACACTCAGTCCACTGAGCCACACTGGCCAGGCAGTGTGTTCAGTTTTTAAAGAAACTGCCAAACTGTCTTCCAAAGTGGCTGTAACAGTTTGCATTTCTACTAGCAATGAACAAGTTGCTTTTGCTCTCTCATTGTTGCTAAATAGATTATTTTTTTAATTTTGGGTACGTGCCCCTAGCGGGAAGGGAACCTGGGATTCTCTGGTCCGCAGGCCGACGCTCTAACTGCTGAGCCACACCGGCCAGGGTAAATAGATTATTTTGAGTTGTCTATGTATGCCTTGTCCTCTGCCTATATGCTGATATGGGACCTTGATATGCAAAGAGGGACCTGAAATTAGTAGTAGTAGGTTGTGGTTGGCCTGTGTTTAGTCATCTTTCTATACTATAAACAGCTATCACTGTTTCCCATTTAAAATGCCTCTCATTTTTCTTTTAAATCTCATCTGGAAATGAATCTTTGCTTTTGTTAGACTTTGAATAATGATTGATTACTTTTTTCCCTTAACACAATCTTATAACAGGTCCCCATATTCTTTAAGATCAGGAATGGACACATAGCTTAGGGAACCTAGAAATCAGTTGTTCTTCAAAGTCATTGCTAGTTTCTCTTTCAATCAGTGTTGGAAAGTGCTCTTTTCCCCTGCATTCTTGACCACTCCTGATATTATTGGACTTCATCTCCTCCAATTTTTCTCACTTCCCATGGGTAAAACTTTCTTATATTTACTAATTCAAAGAATTATACTTTATGGTAAAGTAACTACTCATTAAATATTTTATTGAAGAAACATGGTCTATTTGGTAAATTTAAAGCTTGGATACTAGAAAGGGTTCTTTTTTTGTTGTTAATCCTCACCTAAGCATATTTTTCCATTGATTTTTTTAGATAGAGTGGAAGGGAGGGAGGAGAGGGAGAGAGAGAGAGAGAGAAAGAGAGAGAGAGAGAGAGGGGAACATTGATGTGAGAGAGACACATTGATTGTTTGCCTCCCAGATAACCCTGATTGGGGCTGGGGATCAAACCTGCAACCCAGGTACGTGCCCTTAACTGGGAATTGAATCCAAACCCTTCAGTCTGTAGGCCAGGGCGAAAGGGTTTTTTTAAAAAAAATATTTTACTTTTTGGGTGACTAAACCTGCTTATTTATTTTTTTTGTTTTGTTTTTTTGTCCTCACCAGAGGACATATTTCCATTTTTTGCACAGATAGAGTGGGAGGGAGGGAGAGGAAGAGGGAGAGAGAAACATCGATGTGAAAGGGACACATCGAGTGGCTGCCTCCCGCACGACCAACCAGGGCCGGGGACAAACTGCAACTGAGGTACATGCCCTTAGCGGGAACCAAACCCGGGTCTCTCCGGACCGCAGGCTGATGCTCTAACCGCTGAGCCAAACCGGCCAGGGCCCTGCTTATTTTTCATAGGTGAAAATATTAATGTCATCTGTCATCTAAATGTTTTGTCTTGAATCTTCATTAAGGACTAATATAACTGGATTATATTGCTTATGGATGAGAGATGGCTGTAGGGATGTAAGGTGGTATTTTGGACCTTTCTAATCATTTAGAGTTAAAATGAGCTCCGTGATGGTTTTTTTGTCTTTATTAATTTTTAGAGAGAGAGAAAAGGAGAGGGAAAGAGAGATAGAAACATCGAAGAGAGAGAATATCAATTGGCCGCTTCCTGCATGTCCCCCACTGGGGATTGGGCCCACAACCTGGGCATGTGCCCTTACCAGGAATCTAACCGGTGACCTCTTGGTGCATGGGTTGACGCTCAACCACTGAGCCACTTGGGCTGGGCTCCATGATTTTTTTTTTGTATTTGTTTATCCTCACCTGAGGACACTTTTGCATTTATCTTCAGACAGAGAGGGAGGAAGAGAGAGAGAGAAACATTGTCATGAGAGAGACACATCAAGTGGTTGCCACCCACACGACCCCAACCAGGGCCCGGGACAAACTGCAACCGAAGCACGTGCCCCTAGCGGGAACCAAACCCGGGACTCTCCACTCCACGGCCAATGCTCTAATTGCTGAGCCAAACCGGCCAGGGCTCCATGATGTTTTTTATACCGAATTAATATACTTTCTGAAACATTTCATACTAGCCTGTTCATTTTTCAACCTATTGTTGAAGGAATATAACTCATAATTTCTCTTTTCATAGATTATCTTGATAATGGTAATAATAAAATGGCAATTCAGCAAGCAGATAAACTATTGAAGAAACATAAGGATCTTCATTGTGCTAAGGTGAGTTCATTTGCCCTTGAGTTACTTATATTTGTTGGGTTATATATTCTAATTTCAGAGAAATTTAAAGGAGAAAGATGTTTAATTAATCTCTAGTAATTTTCAGAGTATTTTTTTGATCACTTAAATGCCATCAGTAGTATTTATTTAAAAGCTAGCTATTAATTTCTTTGAACATAACTTATCTAATGTAATTATTTTACTTATACAGAGTCTTTTAAGCAATATTTTGTTTTTTTCTGTGTTTTTTTTTTAAATCCTCATCTAAGGACATGCTTATTGATTTGAGAGAGAGAAAAACAAACATCAGTTCATTGTTTCACCTATTCACGCGTTCCTTGGTTGCCTCTTGCGTGTACCCTGACCAAGGATTGAACTCACAACCTTGGCATATTGGGATGATGCTCCATCCTACTGAGCCACTGGACCAGGGCAGGGCTTGTGTTCTTAATAATAGGAAATAGGAAAGAATCTTGATTTGCTTATATTTTTAGTAAAATGGTGTAGTTGAATTACAACTTAAGCATACCTTACAACTTTCCCTGTGCTTTCAAATTGGCTTTCTGTGGTTCGTATTTCCTTTTTAACCTGATTTGTCTTCTCTTTCTATCAGGTTTTAAAGGCAATTGGTTTACAGAGAACTGGAAAGCAAGAGGAAGCCTTCACCTTGGCACAGGAGGTGGCAGCCCTTGAACCTACAGATGACAACTCGCTGCAGGCACTGACTATTCTTTACCGGGAGATGCATCGTCGTATGTTTCTTTCTTTTCATTACTTTTAAACCTGAGCTTTTGGGTATTTCTGATTGAGTTCTCTATTTGTCTGATTTACTTATCACTCATGATGTGAGTGGATGGCAAAGGTAAAATAATGCATTAACCATGATTTCTGAAGACTGTAGATAGAAAGGATTTTTTTTGTGTGTATTAGGATTCTTGAATAGGAATGAGGACTTGAAATTCATTTGTAGCATTATGACTTGCTGAATGGAAGTTACCCTTTTTTTTTTACCTTTTTTACAAGATTTTTATTGATTGATTTTTTTTTCCTTTTAGAGAGAGAAAGGGAGAGGGAGAGACAGAGAGAGAAAGAAAAACATCAGTGTAGGAGTGTAACATAGATTGGCTGCCCCCTCCATGCCCCATCTGGGGATCTAGCCTACAACCATGGCACCCTGATCGGGAATCTAACAGGCACCCTCCCCCACACTGATATATAGACAAAAACAGAGAATAGCATAATAAATGTCATTGTACTCATTACTGGTCTTCAGCAATTATTGACACATGATGTATTTTATTTATATCCCTCCCCCTGCTAAATTATTTCTAATCATATTCTAGATAGCCTGCCATTTCATCTGTAAAGTTGTTTTTATTGTTGATTTAAATACATTTATTATGAAATAATACATATTTTTATTAATACATATTATAGAAGAGTATATTTTATGTAACTAGACAATTTGATGTGGAATAATGAACATTTATTAATAATGCCCAACTTAAGAATTTAGAGCATTATCAGTACTAAGAATGCTTTCTTTGTGTTCCATATCAATCTCATTTCCTCGTTTACTTCCCAAGAGGTACTCGCTGTCCTGAATATATATTTTTTAAAAAATTTTTAAAATTTATTTTTAGAGAGGGAGGAAGGGAGAGGGAGAGAGAGACAGAAACATCGATGAGTGAGAACATTGATTGACTGCCTCCTGAATGCCCCCCACTGGGGGTTTGGCCTGCAACCTGGGCATATGCCCTAACTGGGAACCGAACCAGGGACCTCTTGGTGCATGGGTCGACGCTCAACTACTGAGCCACACTGGCCAGGCTGTCCTGAATATTTTTTATTTTCTTACTTTTCTTTAAATCTTGATTACATTTGCTTTTCTAAGTAATTTTTAGTTTTGCTTAATTTTGAACTTAATATAAAAAATTAAATGGTGTTAAGATTTAAGTTATGCTTCAGTAATGAAAGACATCCTGTTTCTTTTTACCTTAGCGGAGTTAGTTACAAAACTTTATGAGGCAGCTGTGAAGAAAGTTCCCAATAGCGAAGAGTATCACTCTCACCTCTTCATGGCCTATGCAAGAGTGGGAGAATACAAGAAAATGCAACAGGTAACTTGATCTCCACCCTCCTGGGCTGTGGGATTTGCTATTAAAGTCTCTTTAATATGATTTAATTGCAGTGGTGTGTGCACATGTGCATGTGTGTGTTTGCACATATGTGGAGATCAGCCAGCTATTTTCTTTGTGTGTTTGAAAGATAAACTGGTACTCAAGTTTTAAAAAATGTTTCATTTGGGGAAATTTGATTGTTCCTCTTTTGTAGCCTGATGGCATTTTATTTTATTTTATTTTTATTTCTCACCTGACGATATTTTTTCATTTATTATCATACAGCGTGGGAGGGAGGGAGGGAGGGAGATAGAGACAGAGAGAAACATCGATGTGATAGAACGGTATGTGCCCTTGGCCAGAATCAAACCCATGACTTTTTGGTCTGAGGGCCGATGCTCTAAGCACTGAGCAAAACCAGCCAGGGCACCTGATGGCATTTTAAAAAAAATCTTCACCTGAGGATATTTTTACATTAATTTTTTTAGATAGAGTGGGGAGGGAGAGAGAGAGAGAGAGAGAGAGAGAGAGAGAAACATTGATTGGTTGCCTCCTACCTGACCTGCCAGGTCCAGGGATAGAATGGTAATCGAACCTGAGACTCTTTTGTCTGAGGGCCAATGCTCTAACTGCTGAGCCAAACTAGCCAGGGCCTGATGGCATGTTTTGTCTGGTTCTGGTAAGTTGACTTCAAATTCCCCTCTATCAGGTTGTTGTTATAATTTTAGAAAATGGGTAGAAATCCCCGTGCAAAAAATGAACAAACCATAGAAAGATTAACTTTAAAGTTTACATGTAATTTGTAATTATTTAACTATATAGAGTTTGATGAGATTTTAAAATCCGATGGGGGGGGGGGGGAGAAATTCCCATTGCTTGGGATACTTTTTTTGCCAGTTACCACATTTTAGGTGTTCCTTATATGTGTGGGAAGGAGCCTCATTTGGCACATTTGGACTAGTGGTTGGGTAAAGCTGACTTCTCAGAGAAATTAGGCTTGCACTGGTAAGTCCATAAAGAGTTATGGACTTATATACTATATACATATATACATATATTTTTAATGCTTTGTGGCCCTGCCCGTGTTGCCTTAATGGATTGAGCACTGTCCTATGGACTGTGAGGCCCTGGTTCGATTCCTGGGTTGCCGGCTCCATCCCCAATTTGGGATGTGCAGGAGGGAGCCGATTGATGTATCTCTCTCACATCGGTGTTTCTATCTCTTTAAAAATTCAATAAAAACACATTTTAAAAAATGCTTTGTGCCCTGGCCAGTTAGGCTCTGTGGTTAGAGCATTAGTCCGAGGACCAAAGAATCTCATGTTTGATTCCTGGTCAAGGGCATGTACCTTGGTTGCAGGTTCGATCCGTAGCCCTGGTTGGGGTCATTTGGGAGCCAACCAATCAATGTGTCTCTCACATCTCTCTCCCACTCTATCTAAAAAACAAACAAATAAATAAATTAAATTAAAAAATGCTTTGTAGGTATAGTCTGAAGGCAGAGCTTTCTTATTTGGGTTTTTCTTCTTTAAATATCACATTATAACAAATAAGGGAGCGTGGGAGATATATTAATATAAATTCTCAAAATTCATTTTGTATTTGCTTGTGCAAGTTATTAATTTTTTAAAATCCTCACCTAAAAACATGCTTTTATTGATTTTAGAGAGAGAGGAAGGTAGAGGGAGGGACAGAGAGGAAGAGGGAGAGAGAGAGAGAAAGAGAAACATCGATGTAAAAAGAGAAAGAGTAAACATCGATCGATCAGTTGCCTCTTGCACGGGCCCTAACTGGAGATCGAACCTGCAACTTAGGTATGTGTCCTGACTGGGAATTGAACCTGCATCCTTTTGGTGTACAGGACAGTGCTGCAGTCAAATTAGCCACACCAACCAGGGCACTTAATGCAAATTTTTTAATTGGAAGAATTTGCCCTGGCCGGTTTGGCTCAGCGGTTAGAGCATCGGCCTGCGGTCCAGAGAGACCCGGGTTCAGTTCACGCTAAGGGCATGTACCTCGGTTGCAGTTTGTCCCCGGCCCTGGTTGGTCGTGTGGGTGGCAGCCACTAGATGTGGCCCTTTCACATCAATGTTTCTCTCTCTTTTTCTCTCCCTCTCTCCCTCCCACTCTATCTGAACAAAAAACGAAGAAATGTCCTTGGGTGAGGGTAAAAAAAAAAAATTAAATTGGAAGAATTTTTTTTGACCCAAATACAATTCTTTGAAGGAATTTTATCATTTTATTTACTGATGGAATATAGTCTCAGGAAAAGTATTCAGAAATTATAATTTTTCTTTTAATGCAGAAAGGGTGTATTTTAAATAATTGGCTGCACTAACATGCATATATGTAAATCCTTATTTTTACTTCTAGGAATATAGAAATGTAGTAAATGTTCATCAATACTGATATAGTTTAAAAAATTATGGTTCCTCTATATGATAGAATAAAATGCAATACCGCCCCCCACAAACGGTACTGTGTGTCTTCATTTGTTGACATAGAAAGGTGTTCTAATATGTGTTCATTGAGAAGAGTGGATAATAAAATGGCCTCTCCTCCCACTGCCCTCATATCCACCCCTTAATAAAATACATACATATAAGCATATGTACCAAAGTGTTAACAGGATACTGGGCTATGATTACTTTTCATCATTTCTTTTTCTTTTTTTTAGAGTGTTTGTTAATTTCATGATTTCACAAAATGTATTTTTGAAATATGTATATTACACACATATAAAATAACAAAAAGGGCAAGTTCATGCAAGAGCAATATTAAGGTAGATTTTGACATAAATGAGAAAAATGCGCCACTTGAACACATTTTATTTTTGTGTAGTTTAACTTTACTTCTTGCCAGAGATATATACAGTTTTGCATCTCTTTTTAAAAAATCCTCACCCGAGGGTATTTTTTATTGATTTGAGAGTGAGAGGAAGGGAGAGAGAAACATAAATGCGCTAGTGAAACATTGATTGGTATCTTCCAGTATGTGCCCTGACTGGGGACTGAACCCATAATCTAGGCATGTGCCTAGACTTGAAATTGAACCTGTAACCTCAACCAATAATGCTCAACCAATTGAGCCACCTGGCCAGGCAGTTTTGCATCTTGATTTTTCGAGATACTGCTTTGATGTGGCTTAACTGTTACAATTCCTTTTTTAAATTTTTAAAAATTTTCAGAGTCTAGGCAAATTGTTTGTTTATTTATTTATTTTGTTAATCCTCACTCAAGGCCCTGGCCAGTTTGGCTCAGCGGTTAGAGCGTCGGCCTGCGGTCCGGAGAGACCCGGGTTCGGTTCCCGCTAAGGGCATGTACTTCGGTTGCAGTTTGTCCCCGGCCCTGGTTGGTCGTGCGGGTGGCAGCCACTCGATGTGTCCCTTCACGTCGATGTTTCTCACTCTCTCTCTCTCTCTCCCTCCCCCTCTATCTGTACAAAAAATGGAAAAATATCCTCGGGTGAGGATAAAAAAAAAAAAAAAAAAAAAAAAAAAAAATCCTCACTCAAGGATATTTTTTCATTGATTTTTAGATAAAGTGGAAGGTAATGAGGGGGAGAGAAGGAGAGAGAAACATTGATTTGTTTCACTTACTTATGCATTTATGCACGCATTCATTGGTTAATTCTTGTATGTGCCCTGACTGGGGATCAAATGGCAACCTTGGAGCATCGGAATGGTGCTCTAACCATCTGAGCTACCCGGCTAGGTTAATAATTACAGTTTTTAAATATGTTTTACCTGTATCTTGGTTTTGTATTATTCCAGTCTCATGTATTGGAAGAATGGAATAGACTACTATAGTGATAGATGTTTTAGAGTGGAATGCCTAATTTTTATTCTACCTGTGTTGCTGTTTATGGTAGTTACAGTTTCTTAGCTTATATGCATGTTTATTTTGAAAGTGGTATGTCAGTCCAAGGAAATACGTATTTTACAAATTAAATGTGCTGTTTCATGAGGTTGAGGGCTTCTGTTTTGTTCATTGCTGAATCCTCAGCTTCTAGAATAGCATCTGCATAATAAATATTTGTTAAATAAATGAATGATTTATAATAAACTGTTGGAGGTAGAAGGGAGGAAGCCAGAGAATCAGAAAACTTAAGGACTGTCCTGAATGACATCTCTGGCAGGTACTTTTTAAAACTGCCTTGAATGAAGAATTTCTAGTCAGTCATATTGTGATTAGACTTTCCTTTTTCTGTAGATGACATTTCTGTTCTCTGAGTCACCAGTTTATAGCCATGTTTTTCAAACTTGTCTATCTTCAAAAGTTTTATGTATCAGCAAAATATTAGTATCTGCAAGATAGTAGGATGTGGGCATGAAAACTTTGCCTTTTATATTAAAAATTTATATTAGTTTTATATTTTTATTTCTGCATGTCATTATAAAAAGTGTTTTCTTTCTCCAAGTTATCAAGTAAAATTAACACTTTGCATTCCATTCCCCCTGAGTTTGGTGTTGGAAGTAGGGACTTCAAACCAGCATAGACTCTCCTACCCTGTGTGTCTGTTTTGTCTCCAGATCATCTTGATTCTGACTCCACAGTGTCTTTGAGGTCTCTCTTCTATTTAATCTTCCTCTTCCTGGTTTAGTTCCTCATCGCCTCACCTCTTCTTTTTTCCTGTTTTCTTTCTTCACTGCTAAAATACTCTTCCTAGAAGAGGGTAGATTTATACACATTAGTCCCTTACTCCTTAAGACTTCATTTTGAATGCCTTACAACAAAGTCACCTCAGTCTGCCTTTTAGCCCTCTTCCTTACTACTCACTACCCTTAATCCTTTGTTTTAGCCAGATGTCCTACTGTTCTTGTCAACGTGTTTTTTCTTTCTTTAATTAATGTTTTTATTTTACCTCATTTTGCTTCTACCTAGAACTGGTTCACTTACCCATTCACCTCAAATATTTGCATTTATACATGTCTCCTTACCCCCCATCTTTGCCTGTAGACATACTGTTTGACCTTCAGGGTCCATCTGAAAGACTGCTACTTTGGAGGCTTTATTGGTTAAACTCCCTGCTCTATTTTCTCTTAAAGGAAGAAGAGAGGAATAAGCAAACTTAACCTTGCTTTTCTTAGAAACACCCCAGGATGGTGTTTTTGTATAGGATGTTTATTTTTATTGCCAAGTATATTTTAGTAATTTGTGTATTTGTCTTATCTTCCTAGATTGACTTGAGAGAAACATTGTCACTTATTTATGATTCATTAACTTTTTTTTTTTTTTTTTAGAAAGAGAGGGGGAGAGAGAGAGAAATATTGACTTTTGTTGTTCTACTTATTTATGCATTCATTGGTTGTTTCTTCTTTTTTTTTTTTAATCCTCACCCGAGGACATTTTTTCCATTTTTTTTTGTTCAGATAGAGTGTGGGAGGGAGAGAGAGAGAGAGAAACATCGACGTGAAAGGGACACGTCGAGTGGCTGCCACCCACACGACCAACCAGGGCCGGGGACAAACTGCAACCAAGGTACGCGCCCTTAGCGGGAACCGAACCCGGGTCTCCCAGGACCGTAGGCCGACGCTCTAACCGCTGAGCCCAACCGGCCAGGGCCATTGGTTGTTTCTTGTATATGCCCTGATCAGGGATTGAACCTACAACCTTGGTGTATTGGGATAATGCTGTAATCAACTGAGCTACTCGGCTAGGGCTTATCTTTCCCTAGCTTTTAAGTGCCTTTGGGACCAGGACACAATCTTTGGCAGGAATAGGCAGTTCCACTTAATAGAGGCTCCATGAAAATTTTAAAGTGGATTGAAGATAGGCAAAAGGTTTTAAAGAGTAGCTGTGATAGCTGATGGAGTTCATAGCATTGATTATTAGTTGGCTAATTATGGATAGATCCTCTGTTATGTATGAATAGATCTATTTTGCTCTTTCTTGCCATGTCCCTGCTTTTAAGTATTTGTATACTATACATTTCACAATGAAAGGATTTGATTCTAATTAATGGTGTCTTGAAAGAACCTGATTATTTTCCTAATCTAAGAAATTTTTCAATTATTATGTTAGTAATCTTTTCTAATTTTGAAGTTTAAATATACTGTCTGGATTTCTTTTTTTATTTTATTTTTTTTTATCCTCACCCGAGGACGTTTTTCAATATTTTGTTCAGATAGAGTGAGAGGGAGAGAGAGAGAGAGAAACATCGACGTGAAAGCGACACATCGAGTGGTTGCCACCCACACGACCCAACCAGGGCCGGGGACAAACTGCAACCAAGGTACGTGCCCTTAGCGGGAACCGAACCCGGGTCTCTCCGGACTGCAGGCCGACGCTCTAACCGCTGAGCCAAACCGGCCAGGGCTGGATTTCTTTATTTTACTATAACTGGTTAGTGTGATGTCTTTAATAAAGTTTTTTTACTGAATTCATAACCCACATTTTGTGTTTTGTATTTTTTATTTTTTGTGGTATGTGCCCCTAGCGGGAACTGAACCCCGGACTCTCTGGTCCGCATGCCGATGCTCAACCGCTGAGCCAAACTGGCCAGGGCATACACACATTTTGTGTTTGTTTTGGTATTCTATTGGGACTATATTGGATTGTAGTATTTTCTAGAAATACTGGGTTTTAATTTGAGAAAATCTATTTCAAAGGTGAAATATTTCTGATATAAAAATTCATGTTTGTGATTACATGTATTGTTAGCCAATAGAGAATGTCCATCAAGTCACTAGGCACTTACTGGGATATAGAAGCGCATTGCTATTCTCCTAGGAAACATCTTGCCATATATCATTAATTGCCCTCTGTATAATCTTTTCTAAATTAAGTATTTATGGCTCTATGTCTTTCAGGCTGGCATGGCTCTATATAAGATTGTTCCCAAAAACCCTTACTACTTTTGGTCTGTGATGAGCTTAATTATGCAAGTGAGTATGGCATTCAGAATGGGATTGAGATTTGTTTGTATTTTTGTATATGGTTATTGTCCTTAATGTGTCTTGTGAACGTCTCAGGTAATGTGTTGTAGCATGTGTCCATCGGGGACTTTACATATTGCCAGTTGAGTTTTGAGTTGGGGACTTTTGGTATTCTTTATGAGTTGGTATATTGGTTTATTTGTGTGTAGTACATACTGTATTTCCCCTGAATCTTAGATCCATTACTAGGTTATTTGATCAAGTCTGAGCCCTGAAATGTTGGTATTTTGATTTGAGGTTTGTCTTTAAGACAGTATTGTTGTTTAATGCACAGGTTATTGAACTGGGTGACCTTGTTTTATTACTTTTGCTTTCTGAGCCTCGGTTTGCTCTTTTACAGAATGGAGATGCTCATCTCCCAGAGATAATATAAGGACCAAAATGAGATACAGTGTAGGAGAGGATGGGGAGGTAGCAGTTAAAATGTAGCAGTTAAGAACAGGGGGGCTCTGGGTTTAGACAGGTCTGTGTTCAAATACTAGCTTCATGTTATGTCTTGGAGAACAGTGGGAAATCTCTTAACATTATTTTATCTATAAATAAGCATAATAGCTACCCTGAAAGGTTGTTTACAGTGGGTAAATGAGCCCTGAGCAGAATCTGGCAGTGTTAAAATTATTAATACCATTCATCCATTTTAATTACCAATCTAAGGTAATTATGTAGCTAGTAGTAGCTGTATAAACAATCGGCATTTTCCTTCTAATATATAAACATCTCTAAAAGACATCTGGGAAGCTTTTCTCTTCAAATACTTGATGATACCCTTTGTATATAATAAACAGTATAGGCATACTCCCTGTTAACATATTTCTAGAAAAATGTGTAAACAATCTATTTAAAAGTTAGGTCATACTTTGGAAACTCAGTATTTCAAGAATACGTAGGAGAACAAATTTTTAATAAAGAAATCTCTTGTAAAGCAAATCACTCTAATGTATCTTCTTGGCAGGTTCAAATTAGGCTGGATATTTGACATAGAATGATAATTATATGCTGGAGTTGTGGTAATGGTCTGCATGGTAATATAAATACTGCAAGCAGGGAGAAATTAGAATGAAACATTTGTTTTTTTCTCTTCTAGTCTATATCAGCACAGGATGAAAACCTCTCAAAAACTATGTTTCTACCCCTTGCTGAGAGAATGGTAGAAAAAATGGTGAAAGAGGACAAAATAGAAGCTGAGGCTGAAGTGAGTAATTTAAGCCCTTTTTTTGTATTGACATGATTTTGATATTGCTACAATACTGTGAACGGTTGCCTTATTCCATGTAGAGGGCTGGGTCCTCACTCTTGCCCTTTGTGTAAATGTGAAGCTTTGGAAGCTCCCAGCTTAGGTAAAATGAACATGGAACTGTTTCAACAAATTATCTATTTTGAGATGTATATAGATAGGGAAGATTCTGTTGTCTGATTCTTACTGTTAATTTCATCTCATTTGAAAACAGTGTTCTTTTTTATTAAAGAACTTCTTAAAAATAAATGACTTTTTCCTTTTTTAAAATTATCGTTGAAATTCAGTATTATTTTCTATTGGTTGCAGGTATACAGCATAGTGGATAGACATTTATAGAATTTATAAAGTCTCCCCGATAAATCTAGTACCCATCTGGCACAATACGTAGTTATTACAATGTTATTGACTATATTCCCTATACTGTACTTTACATCCCTGTGATTATCTTTTTATTAATGAAAAGTTTCAGTGATTGCACCTGTTTGTTTTTCTATAAGGTTGAACTTTATTATATGATCCTGGAGCGTTTGGGAAAGTACCAGGAAGCCTTGGATGTCATCAGAGGAAAATTAGGAGGTAATTTTGAAAAAAAATTTTTTTAATCCTCATCCAAGGATGTGTTTTTTCCCCATTTATCATCAAACAGAGTGGGGGAGGAGAGAGAGAGACATCCATGAGAGAGAGACACATCGACTGGTTGCCTCCTGCACAACCCCAACCAGTGCAGGGGACCGAACTGCAACCGAGGGACATGCCCTTGACCAGAATCAAACCTGCGACTCTTTGGTCTGAGGGGTGGTCGCTGAGCCAAATCGGCCAGGGTGAAAGTTTTCTTAAAGTATTTTTTCCTGTTTAAACATGAAAAATGTTGCCCAGCTGGTGTGGCTCAGTGCTTGAGCGTCTGCCCATGTACCAAGAGGTCGCTGGTTCGAGTCCCTTTCAGGGCACATGCCCAGGTTGTGGGCCCGATCCCTACTGTGGGGTATGTAGGAGGCAACCAAATGATGTTCTCTCTCATCGGTGTTTCTCTCCCTCCCTCTCCTTTCCTCTCTCTCTAAAATCAATAAAGAAAAAAAGATAAACATGAAAAATGTTTAGTGTGGGAAATTTCTTCTTCAAACAGAAACAAAGATACAAAGACATAAAAAAAGGCACTTGTGATCATTTTGTTTTCCATATGTTTGTGTGTCTTACATTTATTTTTTTATTTTTAATCCTCACCCAAGGATATTTTTTCATTTATCATCAGATAGAGGGAGAGTGAGGGAGAGAAAGAGAGAGAAAAACATCGATGTGAGAGAGACATATCAAGTGGTTGCCTCCCACACGACTGACCAGGGCCAGGGATGAACCTCAACTGACGTATGTGCCCTTGACTGGAATCAAACCTGAGACTCATTGGTCTGAGGTCCGACACTCTAACCACTGAACAAAACCAGCCAGGGCTTATTTTTTTTTTTTTTTTTAAGTATATTTTAAATTAAATTATTGGGATGACATTGGTTAATAAAATTATATAGGTTTCAGGTATACACTTCTATAGAACATTGTATATTGTATTGTGTGTTCACCACCCCAAGTTAAATATCCTTCTATCTTCATTTATCTCCCCTTTATCCTCTTCTACCTCCTCTACCTCCTTTCCCTGTTGTAAGCACCATACTGTTGTCTGTGTCTATGAGTTCTGTTTTCTAAAATATTTTTTAATTGAAAATAATTCAGGAATTCATAAAGGTTTTGAGTATGAAAGGTTCTACCCCAGCTCTCCAGCTCTCTGCCTTCTAGGTTCTTCTCCAGTTACTTGTTCTGTGTATTCTAAAGATGTATTTTCTCTCCACCCCGTTTTTTAAACAAATGACAGCATACTATACCAGGCCCATAGAGTAATCTTACTCAGCAGAGCGTCAGCCTGTGATCCAGAGAGACCCGGTTTTGGTTCCCACTAAGGGCACGTACGTTGGTTGCGGTTTGTCCCTGGCCCTGGTTGGTCGTGTGGGTGGCAGCCACTTGATGTGACCCTTTCACGTCGATGTTTCTCTCTCTCTCTCTCTCTCTATCCCCTCTCCCTCCCCCTCCCCTCTACTCTGTCTAAAAATCATTGGGAAAATATCCTCAAGTGAGGATTAACAAAAAAAAAGGTACTTTTTTCTTTTCAGTAAAATGATTTTTAGTAAGGTAGTAGTTTGTATCTAATAATGGCTCTATTTTCTAAGAGAGTGAAAATGTGATATTTTTCTTGTGTTTGGACTTTATTTTAGTTTCTGAGCAGAAATGAAACCAATTTACCAACTATTATAACTTTTAATTGTAGAGAAGTTGACCAGTGAGATTCAAAGTCGGGAAAATAAATGCATGGCTATGTACAAAAAGCTGAGCAAGTGGCCAGAGTGCAATGCCCTTTCCCGGCGCCTCTTACTGAAAAAGTGAGTAGATGCTTCTTTTTGGAGTATGAAACTAGAGTCGGGCTTTCAGGTGTCATTATTGAGGTGTTTTATCTATGTGTTTTGAGATTTCTTGGCATAAAGTGAAATCTTTTAGTAGTGTGTCCTGAATATTTTTAAAAGTTTTTGATGAACCATTATCTTTTAGAAAAGAGTTTCTATATCTTTAGACTGAACACTGAAAACTGTCAAATTTAATACTCAATATTGGTCTAAAAGAGAGATCCCTCTCCCCCACAATTTATGAAGTGCTAATGTAGGGAGTTTTCTGTTAAGAATATTAGTTTTCTAGACCATGTCATTTTATTGAAGGAAAGAGTAGTCAAGATCTTAAGTTTTTTACTTTGAAAATACCTCTGGAGTGCTGCCCTTTTGGGGCTGTACAGGAACACTCGGGGCGGGGGGGGGTGGGGGGGCTTCCTAATAAAAACCAAAATAGTACTTAGAAAATAAGTTTACTATTATGGTTCCTAAGGCAGATTTGTCACAATTGGGTTTAATCCTGTGTGCACCATTCAATCTGATATTTTAGCTCAGATGACTGGCAGTTCTATCTGACTTACTTCGATTCTGTCTTTCGGCTGATTGAAGAGGCCTGGACTCCTCCTGCTGAAGGTGAACAGTAAGTTGTCTTCTTTCCTGAGTTACAATGGCACTTTTTTGTTGTTGTTTGTTATTTTTTCCTTTTATTTTACAATGACACTAAACCTAATTAAATTCTTTTCCTGTGTCAATAATTTATCCCTTTTAAAGTAAGATTTTTTCTCCATTTTTTAAAATTATAAAGTAAAAAGTATGTAAAAATTACTATTCTTTTTTTTTTTTAAGAATGAGGTAGAGGGCCCTGGCCGGTTTGGCTCAATGGTTAGAATGTTGGCCCATGGACCAAAGAGTTACTTGTTCGATTCCGGTCAAGGCACGTACCTCGGTTGCAGTTCTTCCCTGGTCCTGGTCAGGTTGTGCAGGAGGCAACCAGTCGATGTGTCTCTCTCACGTTGATGTTTCTCTCTCTCTCCCCTTCCCTCTCTATCTGATGATAAATGGAAAAATATTCTCATGTGAGGATTAAAAAAAAAAAAGAAAGGTAGAGAGTGGTTAATCACTCTAAAGTAATCAAATGCCAAAATTGGGAGTAATCATATGCCATATTACCTGCCAGAATGTGCTTAAAGCTCTCTTTTATTCCCATTTGTATTGTTTTATAATTATGAAAATGCTTTTTCTTATTTTTTTATTTGTATCTTCAAATCAGTTTGGCTTGTAAGTTTTAGAATGGACAATAGAGGCACAAAATACTTTTATCGTGTGTTTATACTTAGCTCTTTAGAAGGAGAAGTACATTATTCTGCAGAAGAAGCTGTGAAGTTTATAGAAGATCGGATAACAGAAGAATCTAAAAGTTCTCGCCATCTTCGAGGACCACATCTAGCTAAACTGGAGCTGATTAGACGTTTACGACGTCAAGGTTTTAATGATGAGTATAAACTGGGTAAGAAACTGTAGTGATATTTGTGAACCCTGGAGAAGATAGATACCCAGGTGTGCTATTCATTGTCTGAGGCCTACAATGGCAGTCCTTTGTGGGCAGCAAATGTCTTCATAACCTGAAAATATTTACTAATGCATCACTTATAAAATTAGCCCTCAATTTCTCCCTTGTCCATCAGAGTCTTCGTGAGACTTTTTTTGCTGACCCAACAATAATGTCAAAATCAATTTCAAAGTAAAATAGCCAGGTTTCTAAAAGTTTTGGGATTTTTTGAAATGTATGTAAGGTTTCTTGAAAATCTGCTCCCAGCACTCACATTGATGAAAGAGCGTCCAGCTGAGTTAGGGCAATTAACAGTTGAAGATAAAGTTTATAAGGATAATGACAAGATGGGGAAAAAGAACGATTTGGACAGTGAAGTATTAAGAGAGGCCTTCAGGAAATTTAATGAAGCATTTAGATTTTTTGTAAAATGGTTCATGTTGAGCTTATTGCACAAGAAGTAAAGGATGTTATAGCCCTGGCCGGTTTGGCTCAGCGGTTAGAGCGTCGTCCTGCGGTCCAGAGAGACCCGGGTTCGGTTCCCGCTAAGGGCACGTACCTCGGTTGCAGTTTGTCCCCGGCCCTGGTCGGTTGTGCGAGTGGCAGCCACTCAATGTGTTCCTTTCATGTCGATGTTTCTCTCTCTCTCTCTGTTCCTCTCTCTCCCTCCCACTCTACCTGAACAAAAAATGGAAAAAATGTCCTCGGGTGAGGATAAAAAAAAGAAAAAAAAAAAGGATGTTATATTGTGTTTGTTTATAATTTTGTTGGAAAAATGGCACACCTTCCCCCCAAAGCAGTAATTCTTTGCCAATACTAAGTATTAGCTTATAGTAATTATGCACTAAATTTTGTTTTTTAGATAATAGACTTTATTAATTTTTCAATTTTATTGTTTAAGATAAAGCTCCAAAGAAACCTTTTTCTCCATTATTATGGAACTTTTGTTCTCATTAGAAGTTGATAAACTGTAAGTTATTTTTTTAGGGACCAGTTGTCCTATGATCATGAGCACTTCTAATACCTGAAACCTGTCCTAGAATATCTCTGATCATTTTAGTCATTTAAGTTATGTTCTTTGCAGCTCGTTCTAAAATTAACTGTGGACTTCTCTCTGTCATTACCTTTGTAGATTATTCACAACCAATTTTGAATTCCATGTTAACTTTTTTCTTTGGATCTACCTCAATAATCTGTCTATATTAGTTCAAGAATTACAAATGAAAATTTGTGTGTGACCTTTAGCAAAATATTGTTAAAATAGATTTCAATGAATTGCTTTCTTTCCAAAGCTGGATATAAAAGTATTTGAATCTGCTTTGACACTTGCTATATTCATCTTCTATTTTTCTTTCTTGCCATCAGCCTGCATCTTACAAATTTATGAGGTTTTCTAGCCACCATAATTTTTTTTTTTTTTTTTTTTTTTTTTTGCCATTACCAGTGAGTGATTCTCAGTCTCAATCCTGTGAAAATCTGGTTTAAGCTATGGACCTCTGTTCCTAGAGACATGGGAATAGGAACTGGGACCTAAAATTTTATAGAAATCTATGGTTAAAGTCTCTGCTTTGAGCCCTGGCCAGTTTGGCTCAGTGGTTGGAGTACATCAGCCTGTGGTCCAGAGAGACCTGGGTTCGGTTTCTGCTAAGGCCACGTACATCGGTTGCGGTTTGTCCTCTGCCCTGGTTGGGTTGTGCGGGTGGCAACCACTCGATGTGTCCCTTTCATGTCGATGTTTCTCTGTCTCTCTCTCTCCCTCCTACTCTATCTGAACAAAAAAATGGAAAAATGTCCTCGGGTGAGGGAAAAAAAAAGTCTCTGCGTTGAGACTTTAAACCCAGTTAAATTTGAGAGCATTTTATTATTTTCCTTCTTTTTTGTTTTTAATTTGAGGAAAAAATAAAATGAACTTGTAGCTTTCTGCATTTCCAGGTTTAAGTGTTTAATAGTGATCTTGGAATTATTGGCTTGGGGTTTTTCCATTTATTTTCTCTTCTATTGGTGTGCCTATTACCCAACATTACCTTTCTTCCTTTCTTTTTTTTTTAATGTTTTTATTTTATTTTATTTTTTAATAAAGAAAGGAAGGGAGATGGAGAGATAGAAACATCAATGAGAGAGAAACATTGGTTGACTGCCTCCTGCATGCCCTCTACTGGAGATTGAGCCTGCAATTTGGCCATGTGCCCTGACTGGGAATCGAACCTGCCACCTCTCAGTGTGTGTGTCAATGCTCAACCACTGAGCACACCATCTGGGCAACATGGCCTTTCATTTAATTAATATTTATTTGATACTTCTGAAGTAATTCAGGAACTGTTGTGGAGAGAAACATGTTTGTTTAATGTTTGCATATAAACTTAATTCTTTATTTAAATTTTAATGAAAATTTTAGTTGAATGAAAAGCATCACATTTCCAAAGTGTAATAATAGGTCAACTGAATTGTAAGATTCTACTTTGTTGTTTTTTTTTTTTAAATAGGTTTTTATTGATTTCAGAGAGAGGAAGGGAAGAGAGAGAGATAGAAACATTGATCAGCTGCCTCCTGCATGCCTCCTACTGGGGATTGAGCCCACAACCGAGCATGTGCCCTGACAGGGAATCAAACCAGGACCTCTTAGTTTATGGGACGATGCTCAATCGCCTGGCTGAGCAAAGTTTTTTTATTTTTAACTTGGCAGGCCAGCTTCTAGCCCTCGTTGTTCTCATTTATTCTTATGCAAGCATTCAAGCAAAAATTTAATTTAATTGAAATATTTTTCAAATCAGACCTTTTTTTTTTTAAATCCTCACCCCGAGGACATTTTTTTGATATTTTGTTCAGATAGAGTGGGAGGGGAGAGAGAGAGAGAGAAACATTGACGTGAAAGGGACACATCAAGTGGTCGCCACCCACACGACCCAACCAGGACCAGGGACAAACTGCAACCGAGGTACATGCCCTTAGGGGTAACCAAACCCGGGTCTCTCCAGACTGCAGGCTAATGCTCTAACTGCTGAGCCAAACTGGCTAGGGCTCAAATCATAAATTAGAAATTGCTTTCTAATTTACATAAATTAGAAATTGCTTCAGTTCATGAGTAATTTAGTGATTTTTATTTTTCTCTTTTAGGTGACCCAGAAGAATTAATGTTTCAGTATTTTAAAAAGTTTGGGGATAAGCCTTGTTGTTTTACAGACCTCAAGGTGTTTGTTGACCTCTTGCCTGCTTCACAGTGTACAAAAGTGAGTACAGTTTGGAATTCTGTTGGGTGCTTGTATTTATTGTAACTAGGTTAAGTGTTTGGGTTTCCTTTCTAAAATGAGTGAGAGTGGTGAACATGAGATATCAAGATAACTGCTCTATCATGCCAAATACTCTAGGGGCTATCAGATTAAAGGCATGATTTCTTATTAAGTTAAGCCACTAAGAGAATAAGTCACTGATAGATAATTAGATTTTCTTTTTTTTTTTGTTTTTATGTTGTTGTTTTGGAAATAATTTTAGATTTATATGCAGTTATAAGAGAAATAACAAAGAAATCCTTATACTCTTCACCCATTTTGTCCCACTGGTAACATATTGCATAATTATAGTATAATAACATAACTAGGAAATTAATACCAGTACAATCTACTGACCTGATTCAGATTTCACCAGTTTTGTATGCATTCATTTGTGTGTGTGCTGTGTGTTTTTAGTGCAGCATGTAGTGCACGTGAATGGATATGTGACCTCCTACCACAGTCAAGATACAGAACAGTTCACCACCAGGATCCTTTGTGCTACTCTTTCTTATCCATAGCTACCTCCCTGCACCTCCATCTTTCCCTATCCCTGCCCCATGGCAATAACTAATGTTTTCTATTTCTATAATTTTGTCATTTAAAGAATGTTATATAATGGAATCATATTATGTATAACCTTTAGAGATTGGCTTTTTTCACTCAGCATAATACCCTGGAGATTCATCCATTTGTTACATGTGTCAATAATTCATTTCTTTCTATTATATAGTATTTCGTGGTTTGGGTGTACCATGAGTTCTTTAACCTGTTGAAAGACATTTGGGTGTTTGTAGTTTTGAGCTATTACAAATTGACTTGCTATGAATATCTGTGTGCAGGTTTTGTGTGTGAACACAAGTGTTTATTTCTCTAAGAAAAATGCCCAGTAGTGCGATTGCTGGGTATTATGGTAGCTGTATGTTTAGTTTTCTTAAGGAATGGTCAAACTTTTCTGCAGTGGCTTTACCATTTAAAATTCCTATTAGCAGTGTATGAGTGATCCAGTTTCTCTGTATCCTCCTCAGCATTTAGTGTTGTCACTATTTTTTATTTTAGCCATTCTGATAGGTGTGTAGTGACATTTCATTATGGTTTTTCCCTAATAGTTAATGATGCTGAACATCTTTTATGTGCTTATTTGGTATCTTTATATTATTCTCAGTGAGTTGTCTGTGTCTTTTGCTCATTTCCTAGTTGATTTGTTTTTGTTTTTCACTATTGAGTTTTCAGGGTTCTTTATATATTCTAGATACAGGTCCTTTGTCAGATAGTGGTTTCAGATATTTTCTTCTAGTCTGTAGCTTATCTTTTATCCTCTTGACAGGATCTTTTGCAGAGCAAAAGATGAAGTCCAGTGGACTTCCCTTTTAATGTCTTATCTCTGATATGCTGAAAACTATAATAGTTAATCACTTATTATTTCAAACTGTGATTTATTTTTCCTGAAGTTACCTGAAACTCTAAGTCTTAAGGATTTGTAAATTTTTATTTATTTATTTAAAAAATGTTTATTTCTTTATTGATTTTTAGGAAGAGGAAGGGAGAGAGAGAGATAGAAACATCGATGAGAGAACATCAGTTGGCCACCTCCTGCATGCCCCCTTGGGGATCGGGTCCACAACCTGGACATGTGCCCTGACTGGGAATTGAACTGGCCTACTCCTGAGGCATGGGTTGATGCGCAACCACTGAGCCACACTGGCCAGGCACTTTTTTAAAATACATTTTTCTTTATTGATTTTAGAGAGAGGGGAGAAGAGAGAGAGAGAAACATCGATTAGAGAGAGAAACATCGATTGATTGGCCGCCTCCTGCATGCCGCATCCTGGGGATTGGGCCCACAACCTGGGCATCTGCCCTGACTGGGAATCAAGCCAGCAACCTCTTGGTGGATGGGACGACACTTAGTCCCTGAATGGTGGCTGGTGTATACCTTTTTATTTAAAGGAATCACTTTTATCCTGGCCAGTTTGGCTCAGTGATTAGAGTGTCAGCCCACAGACCAAAGGGTCTTGGGTTCAGTTCCAGTCATGGGCACATAACTCGGTTGTGGTTTGGTCCCCGGCCCAGTTGAGGCCACACAGGAGGCAACCAATCGATGTGTTTCTCTCACATCTATATTTCTGTTTCTCTCTTTCTTTCTCTCTCTCTCTCTTTCTCTCCTTCTCTCCCCCCCTCCCACCCTATCTGAAGATGTAAGCACTTTACAACCTCTCTTATCTGAAGCTAAAAGGAAGCACTTTAGACCTCTCTTAGGTGTATCTGAATTGCCAGCAAAGTGTATCTTTTGCACTTTGGGGCCATTATTAAGAATAATAGGGATTACTTGAATACAGCAAGAACTGCAGTACTGCTATAGTCAATCTGATAACCCAGAGAGCTACTAAGTAACTAATGGGTGGGTAGCATGTACAGTGATGTGAAAAAGACTCTGGAGAAAGGGATGATTTATGCCCTGGGTGGGATGGAGCAAGATTTCATCACAATACTCAGAATGGTATGAAATTTAAAACTTATGCAATGTTTATTACTGGAATTTTCCATTTAATATTTTTGTACCACAGTTGACTAGAGCTAACCAAAACTGTGGAAAGCAAAACTGAAGATAAAGGGAGTACTACTGTATTGGGAGTGTTTGTGAATGAACCAGTGTAAATCAGTTAGCTATCCAGACGAAGAACCTTATCTGCAGACTCCTCCACAGCAATAAGTATTGGGTTAGATTGCTCACCCTCTTCCATATGAAAGGTTTTCAGTATTTAGCCCAGAGTATCTTTGGTAATGGGCAGTTGGAGTACTCTACCAATTGGAAGAATAGTGTGCCTGAGGTAGGGTAGAGTACCATATAAAGAATAATAGCACATATAAAGAAAGTCTGTGACTTTGATCAGCTCACTCATAAAAACCCCTGTAATTAATAAAGGGTGGAGGTCTTCCTATCCCAGGGCTGCCACCACCTGTTGTTCCAGAAAACTTTCTGTCTCCCCATGTGGGATGAATGAAGCACATTGGGAGCACAGTGTAGATGACTAGAATATTTGTTGGTGATCATTCATCAGCCTACTAGGGCTTGGGCTCAATACTTTGGCCCCCCCCTTTTTTTTATCCTCACCTGAGGACATTTTTGCATTTATCTTCAGATAGAGCGGGAGGGAGAGAGGGAGGAACAGAGAGAGAGAAACATCGATGTGAGAGAGACACATTGAGTGGTTGCCACCCACACGACCCCAACCGGGGCTGGGGACAAACTGCCACCAAGGTACGTACCCTTAGCGGAAATCGAATCTGTGACTATCTGGTCCTCAGGCCGATGTTCTAACCGCTTAGCCAAACCGGCAAGGGCTAGTTTGACACTTTTGAGGTTACATATCTAGGGCAGCTGAAACAACGCATTCCCCAAGTAAGCAACCAGTGGTCTCTGTTGGGTTCTGAAATGACTTTGCTTTAGTAAAGCTATTTTTGGGACGCTGTGCTTGTAGGGTTCAGGCCAAGCTTTGGAAGTTCTGAGGAAATTGTAACATATCCAGGGTTCTGGATTGTAGGAGGACTTGACAGAATATGAGAAAGAAATAGTTGAGTGGAGGAAAGAGGTTTGATCTGGTGAGGACAGAGTACTTCCTGTCACATTTGAAAAGCTCTCTTGTAGAAAAGGGATGAGAACCGAGACCAGCAAGAAGTTGTTTCAGGGACTTCAGAATTTGGCTTAGTGAGAAAAAGATCTTTTTAGTAGCCAGAATTCTCTAAAAATACAGTCTTAATTTCATGTTACTGGAGGGATTTAAGCAAAATCTAGAAGCATGTGGGAAGGATTCATTTGCTTGTTGCACATATGTGCTAAGCACTAAGATAGGGAACTGATCATGTCTTACAGTGCTTACCATCTTGTAAGTTGAAGCATCAAACAGTGGGCTGCATTAGAAGAACACTAATGTTGTTGTCAACTGAGATTCATAAAGGTTTGCCAATACAGGTCTGGTACCAGCAGCTCTACTTTACTGGTATGTTTGAATACCTTAGGTCATCTCCCAGGACCCCTTTACAGTAATGTATTGAGAGGAACCCTCTAGAAATGCTAGAATACTAGCAGTGATAAGGCAGTCATTGTTCTGTGAGACAAAGGATTTAAAGCTGCTGCAGTGAGTTGTGTAGTCCTATGTAAATTTTTCGTTGAGATGGGTAATTTTGCTGCCACAACCTTTTCATTGTGGGATGACTTCAGTAGCTAAAAATTCTGTGGCTCAGCAGTATGTTTGTCACAGGATTGCAAACTGTCTACATAAGGTACAAGCTGAGAACTGTTGTCCCAGTGAGTTAGGAGCCAAATCCTTTAAAAATGGGACTAGTCCCTAATTGAAGAAAAAAAAAATAGCATAGAGTCAAAGTTCTTAGAATTGTTAACATATTTCATTATTTTATTCATTTTTATTTATAATCATATTCATATTCATAGTCTGTAACTTTATAGGTGTAGGATATACATTATATTCAAATATGTAATTTAGATGCCTGATAAAATTAAATATTTTTTTCTTTATTGATTTTTAGAGAGAGAGGAAGGGAGAGGGAGAGAAACATGGAAACACTGATGAGAGAGAACATCTGTTGGCCGCCTCCTTCATGCCCTGCATCGGGGATTTGACCCACAACCTGGGCATGTGCCCTGACTGGGAATTGAACCGGCGACCTCTTGGTTGCATGGATTGACGCTCAATCACTGAGCCACACCAGCCAGTTGATGCCTGATAAAATTAAACATTGACTTTAAAATATAATTAACACCCCTGGCCAGTTTGCTCAATAGTTAGAGTAACGGCCTGTGGAGCCAAAGACTCGTGGGTTTGATTCTGGTCATGGGCACATACCTTAGTTGAGGGTTCAATCCCCGGTCCCGGTCAGGTTCATGCAGGAGGCAACCAATTGATTTGTCTCTCTCACATCAATGTTTCCCTCTCTGGTTGTTTCTGGGAGTAAAAGCCCAGGCTTCTGCTGTATATAGGAAGTTGGTCTGTGAGCTTGGGGAGGGTTCTCATTTTCTAGAATTCTCTTGTTTCAGTCCCATCAGCACTTTAGCTTTCAGAGACATCTGTTGCCCTTAATTCTGAGTCTTACAAGGTTTTGTGGCTAGAATATGTTTGCCACTTATTGGTATTCTTCCCGTTGCATACTGGATCCTGGTTATTACTTACCACCTGCCCGTCTGCTTTTTATCTTTTGAAATCTTGTTAATGGTTTTTATTTGTTGTTTGTTCACATACTGCTGATCCTTATGGATTAATTCTCATTTGTTCTTTACTGTCATCTTAATATGGTTTTGGAAGTGAGTGAAAATAAGCCCGTGTTCAATAAATATATAACTGGAACTGGTGTTTTTTAAAGTTCTTGCCAAATTTAAAGAATTAAACATTTTTAAAAACTATTTTTACTGATTTTTTTTTTTAGAGAGAGGAAGGGAGAGAGAGATGGAAACATCGATGTGAGAGAGACATTGATCCAGCTGCCTCTTGCACCCCCCGCACTGGGGATCGAGCCCGAAGCCCAGGCGTGTGCTCTGACAGGGAATCAAACCAGGCCCTCTCAGTCCATGGGATGACGCTCAGTCCACTGTGCCACACCAGTGGGGCAAGAATTAAACATATTTTAATGTAAGATGTTACCTTTGGGAGAAACTGGATGAAGGATACATGGGATCTCTCTATGTTAGTCATACAACTGCATGTGAATTTACAATTATCTCAAGATAAAAACTTTAATTACAAATGCAGTTTAAGACTACTGATATGCTATAACTATTGCTTTCAGTGCATAATGTTTGCTTTAGGGATGCATTTGTGTATCCGTATAATTGTAGGTTGGTTTGTTTTTGGTCATCTGCTCTTTTTACACTTCCTAATTAAACTTTTTCAATGTTACATTATATATTATGTTGCTGTGTTATAATTTGTGAAATATTTTCACAATTCTTTTGATCTTACAGTGTGTGGAACCTGTTATTGACCAAATACTTTTGGCCAAAAATGAATAAGAGTGCCGGTTTCACTGAAGTTTCACTAGCATTGCGTGCTGTTAGAAATTTTTTTGTTTCAGCAATGTTGGCAGAAATGGTATACTAAAAGGGTTTTAATTTTTATTTTTTCTTGATGTCTTTTTCTAGACCATTCCAGTATTTGTTAATGCTGACCTACTAAAAAGACTAGTTCTGTTTTGAGACCTGTTTTTTTTTTTTCCCCACTCTGCAGTTCATTAATCAATTACTTGGAGTTGTTCCTTTATCGACATCAACAGAGGATAAGTTGGCACTGCCTGCTGACATCAGAGCTCTGCAGCAGCATTTGTGTGTGGTGCAGCTGACCAGGTTACTGGGCTTGTACCACACTATGGATAAAAATCAGAAATTGAGTGTGGTCAGAGAACTGATGTTAAGGTACCAGCATGGACTAGAGTTTGGTGAGCAACTTTTCAAAATGTGCAATTGTTCCCTGACCTACTAAGATTGAGAAGTTAGGTTTTTTGTTTGTTTGTTTGTTTTTTGTTTTCAATTACACACAGCACCCTGTTTTAATGAGTTTTGCAAGGAGAATATTTTGTCAAGTGGCAAGACTATCCAAGTAATAAAATACAAAGCCTTTCTAAAACTTGGAGTTTTATTATTTATTATTATTATTATTATTATTATTATTTTCTTCCACATTTCATTTTTTAAAAATTTCTGTATAGTTGGCATATAATATTAAGCTCATTGTTTTAAGTAATTATAGTTGTTCATATTCTTCCTGATCTGGTGAGTTAAGTATCATATTGGGGCTTGTATGAATTGCAGTTTATGATAATTGTCACATTTTCTGCTTATATGCCTTAATATTCATAATATATGGACCACATAAGTGAACAAAAGGAATATTCTGAATTGTGAGATATTTAGAAGCAGGTCTTCAGATTGTTAAGTATAGGTGATAAAATATTAATTATCTAATTAGATGATATCAGTATTTTTCTAACTGCATTCTTAAAAATTAGGTGAAGAAATGAGCATGATATTAGTTTAGTTATACATGACCCTTGGTTTGTGTTCTTTTCTTTACCTAAAACCTTCCAAATCTTGCTGCTCTCCCTGGGGACTACTTTGGTACCACCCCTGTTCTGGAACCTTCTGCTTCAGCTGAGTCTAGTCTCACCTTTTGAATTTTTTGGTTCATGGCTTATGTTTTCTTTTAGTATTTACCCCACTCTTATTATTTTCTTTTGCTCTCTCTCTCTTCTCCCTATTATCACTTTTCCTGCTTTAAAAAACTTCTTTGGTGCAGTATTAGTTAAGCAAATGTTAAATATAGATGATTTTTTTTCCTCCCATAGGAAAATCGTGTTTGAAAACAGAATTGCAGTTTTCAGACTATTACTGTCTCCTTGCTGTCCATGTGCTTATTGATATATGGAGAGAAACAGGTAAGGAGCAATAATTTCAGATGAATTTTACTTTGTTTTTAATTGACTATAACTCCATGGAATAATTACATAATCCAGGAATTTGATTTATGTGTTTAGGCTTTTCTTGCCCTTCTCCAGGGTGCTTCTAGAAGAGCCTTCTCCACATACCCCTCCCTGCGGCCAGGGAGATCTTAAGTCAGTGGATATCTGTGTTTACTTTTTATTTATTAAAAAAATTTTTTTTCTTTATTTAATTTTTAGAGAGATAGGAAGGGAGAGAGAGAGAGAGATAGAAATATCAATGAGATACAAACATCAATGAGAGAGAACATCGATTGGCCCACAACCTGGGCATGTACCCTGACCGGGAGTCGAACCGGCAACCTCTTGGTGCATGGGTTGATGCTCAACCACTGAGCCACACCTGCTGGGCTGTTCTGTTTTTAAATGTTTCTGAATAGTGAGTAATGACTGTAAAGAACCCATTCCAAAGTTATAGTAATTAAAAGACAGAGAAACTGATTCAGAGATGGATATATAGACCCATGGAATGTAATAACCCTTTTACTCACTTTTGAAAAGTTTATATACAGAAAAATACACTCTTTTTGGAATATACTTCTGGTTAGCCCATTTAAGACAGAAATATAATACAAGGTAAAGAAAGCATCATGAGTCCTGGAGCAGGAGAAAGATGATTCAGTAAATGGCATTGAGATTTCCTTTTCTTTAGGTCTCACCACCCTGACATTTTCTCTTATTAGCAGTTTTTGAGAAAAAATAACTTATTTATTGCATATTATTCCCTAAAATAAACTACAAAAGAAACAAGGGCTAGGGAGATAGATACAACCCCTGCCCTCAAGGGTCATTTCACAAAGTACTCAGTTTTGATATTGTCATCCTCATGCTTAAGACTCTCCAAAGGTGCCTTAAAATTGTGTTAGAAGAATTTTGTCCCAAAAAACCTTATCAATCGTTGATGCACTTTTGATTTGGTAAGAATTTGTGTAGAGTTGTAGATATATCCTAAATTTAGCAAAATAAAATAAAATGATAAATATTTTCATAATATTTGGTTTAATAGTTCAGACAGAAGTATAAATTAAATCATTCTTTGGCTGTCTACTTTGAAATTTTGTTTCTATTTTAAAGAGATCTTTAAGAATATTTGTGGGGTTTTATTTTCTGATACTAGTTATCCTTGAATAAACTGGGATTTCTTAAAAATGATCTCTTCTCTGTAATTGTACAATTGTCTCTTTTATTCAGTTCTGAGCCTCTTGAGGCCAGGAACCACACATGACTCTTATCTTCAGGTCTTATATCTAGTGTTGCTCAAGTGCAGGCCAGTGAGTGTTGAATTAAATCAAATTATGATTGTAAAGTCCAGGTAGCAACATGGGAAAACACTTAAAAGTAAAAGAGCAGAATGCAAAATTTGATGTATGCTATGACTACTACTGTGAAAAAGTATATAGTTCAAAAGCAATACATTAAAATCCTCATGGTAATTTAAGTAGATTATGTGTAGTTTGCACAGTTTGGGTAGGATTAAAGATATTTATCTAAACCTCTAATTTTTTATCTTTTTTTTTCCTCTTGGAAAAAGCATATGTAATAATAATTTCAAAAGCTAATTTCAAGAGCTTTTTTTTTTTAGCTGTTTTTTTTTTTTTTTCCTGACTGTAAAAGTAGCTTGTAAAAATTTTGGAAAACAGTTATTAATCTCACTTTTCCTGCTTCCATAAGGCACTCAAACATTCTGCCCCTTTTCTCTTTCTCTGCATATTTTTCAGACTAAAGATGAACTCTCCATGCTAATTTGAATTCTCTGTGTGTGTTTTACTGATCATTATTACAAAAGTATATAATGTTATTAAAAACTTCATTAACATCAAATGGCTGTATGATATTTCTGTATGTGGGTGTTACTGTAATTTATTCAGTCATCCCTCCTTTATTAGTACAATGAATATTTTAGTATGTAAAGTTTTATCTGCATTTCATGTTATTTTCTTTAGGTAGATTCTAAAAAGACAATTTACTTAATCTTTAAGACTTTTGGTACATGTGGCCTTTGAGTTTTGGTGGCTCAAAAAGGTGTATCATTTTATTTTGATTATTAATGAGCACTTTTTTCAAATATTATTTGACATCCTATTGGTAGAGTTACATATAGAAGAAAAATGATGTTTAGAGAAAGCATCTGTCTGGGGCCTTGTAGAGAAAATCCTGTACTGGGAAAGTTGGTGGATGCCAGTTCTTCAAAGTCCATCTTTTCTCAGAATCTAGGATTCTGTGAGATTCCATAACTTACCTTCACAAGACCTGGCAGCTTAAAATTTGCTTCAGTCTGTAGTTGCATGTTTAAGAATTGAGGTAACTATGTAGGGATTATGTATTCAGGGAAATCCCCTGTTTTGCTTACAGATGTTTATCTAAAATTTGTTCTCTGCCACCTAAACTCATTCTTAGAATAGTTAGGGAAGTTGATGATGTCAGTAAGTTTTTGTTTTTGAGAACCTCTATTTGCTGTGGGTAATGCTATTATATTTTGGTTCTAGGTGACGAGACTGCTGTGTGGCAGGCCCTGACTTTGCTGGAAGAGGGATTAACTCACAGCCCTTCCAATGCTCAATTCAAATTGCTGCTTGTTCGAATCTACTGTATGCTGGGGGCATTTGAACCAGTGTTGGATCTGTACTCCAGCCTCGATGCTAAGCATATCCAGCATGATACCATTGGGTTGGTAGTATATACTCTGAATGATGAGCAGTCAGCTATATCAGTGTGGGACCCTTATACGTGGAATTTGAACTTTTTGTTTTAGCAATTAAGTTGTTCCTGGTATTAAGCTTTTTAGGTGAGATAATCACCTATTATGACCCATTGAAAAACAGGAAGCATTTATATTTGCCAGCATTTTGTAGTAATGTTAAAATTTGCACAATTTAGAAATGGTAACGTTTTCCTCAGAGACAGAAAACAGCTATGTACTTTGAACCATTTTTCTTAGCATGTGTGATTTTGAAGTCTTTATTTCTGCCTTGCAGTTGAGGTTGACACATGTACTCCATTTCTTGACCAACTCAGATCCTTTGAATTTGTGTTGTAACTATTCTTTGTGATGAGTCAAGGGTATTCTCTCTATCCCCTGTAGAGCTGTTTTAGGAAGACAGTATATTCTGTTTTCTCACATCTTGTGTTCCATTGATCATCTGAGTGTTAAGAAAGCATGGCATGGCCCTGGCCGGTTTGGCTCAGCAGTTGGAGCGTCGGCCTGCGGACCAGAGAGTCCTGGGTTTGGTTCCTGCTAGGGGCACATACCAAAGAAGGCATGGAACTTTAGGGCTCCCACAAAACTGATTTAACTTTGCTCTTTTTGTAAAAATTTGATTCTGTGAATTAGATAATTTCTGTGGCAGGATGTTTTAAGTTTTCCATATGCTTAGCTATTTCTCTGCCATGGTAATTTGAAATGTAGTAATACTTGAGGTGGGTAAGTGTAACATGTTTTTTTCTTCTTCTTTCCAACCTAGTTATCTTTTGACCCGATACGCTGAATCCCTAGGTCAGTATGCTGCTGCATCCCAATCCTGTAACTTCGCACTCAGGTTTTTCCACTCCAACCAGAAAGATGTAAGTGAAAAAAAATTTTTATTATGGTCTTGCCTGCCGAGTGCATACGGTTCAGAGAGCATCTTCCCTGTGTCACCGGTACACATGTTGAAGTGTACCATGCTGTACTTGCCGTAGCTTACTGGCCAAGTCTGCAAGGTAGAGGTGAAGAGTTATTTGTGGTTGATAGAATGAATGTATAGAATCCGTACAAAGGTGAATTTAAAACTGGGTATTAACAGAATAGGAAGTGTTATGTCTCTTAGGTCAGTCTTTTAATCTCTTAGAGACTTTTCCAAAGACATGAATATGCCATGTAAGATTCTGCAATAGCAGCTGCTCTCTGTTACCTTGATTTATTTCTGAAGTCTGTAACCACAGTGCTCTTTGCCAACAGCAAATGCACGTATGTTTTCTTTGAATTACAAAATTGACCAGTTGAAGATTATTATTTTAAGAAACTTTGGTCAATAGTATTTTTTTAAACTAGCAATAAATAAGATAGAGCTTCTATGTGCCATAATCAAAGGATGGGATTTGCACCATATTTTTCATTGCAAACAGACTTGGTCTCCACTTGTCAGTTAAGAAGAAGCTTTTGTGGAAAAACCATATATATATAGTCTGTACTCAGTTAACCAGTTATGCAAAAACCACCTATGAACATATGTGAAGATAAGGCATGTTTTCTAGAATGGACACTGCTTATTTGGTTCTCATGTGCTTCTAAGACTCATCGCCTGGAATTGGACCATCCCAGATATCTGCCCATAGCTCTCCGTTTTCATGGTCTAACAGCAACCTAGAAACTGGGCAAGGAAGCTGGTTTCTGAGGTTCTTCATGTCAAACACTCATGAGGATTAAAGAAAAGTGTTTTATAAATATAACAGCTATGGGTAATCTATCTGTCACCTAATTCTTTAGGGGTGTATTAAATAGAAGGCTGGGGCAGGGCAGAAGCATTTCTGAACAATAACATATAGGCTTGTTGTTCTCAGCTTGTAATAATTATGTCCTGACAAGTTTCAGGTCATGGTCTAGTGGGCTGGCGTAGCAAGGGATGGTGAACTGTGCTTTATCCATTGGCTTTTAAGCCCTGGTTTCCTCCCCTGTGACCTCTCTGTCCCATACTGGTTGGTATTTCTGTTCAGACCTCATTTTGTGACATAGCTTCTGACCGTGGAGAAAGGGAAGTGGGCATTAGCGTTTGAACATATTGCTCAGAAGGTGCTGGCCTGGCTTAGAAGTCAGAGGGTATCTTTTGGACCTTGGGTTTCTAAAATCTCTTAGCATGAGTAGGCAGTTGAGTTATAAATCTCTGAGTTTTCACTGTGTTCAATTATCTGTGCTCTCCCTTTTGTTTTCAAGTAGTTTTACTAACTTGAAAAAAAAATGGCGTTCCTGAAATTTCATTATTCTGGCTTATTTCTGTGTTTTAAGGAAGAGGTTAAAGAAACATTTGATTTACTGAAGAATTCTTTTCAAAGTTTTGTTTCTCATAATTTTGAGATGAGAACTGGTGTAAGTAAGGGATTGGTCCAAGGCTGGTCACTGGTTTTACTTGTTTCCAATCATTTAGCATTCTTAAAGAACCATATTGTTCATGATTTGGCCAATAAAGGCACATTACTTTATTCAAATAAAAATCAAGTTTTAATTATTCTCCCACAAGTATTGTGTCTGAAGAGTTGTTTTGAACACACACACACACACGAAAGTATTGTAGTAGGGGAAGGAGATCCCCATGAGTGATTTGAGAGGGCCTCTTGTCCTCAGTAGTTTTTGTATCTTTGGTGTTTTGCTAATGGTTGTATGTAGCTGGGAGTGATAATTCATCTGAATGTTTGTGATGCTGAACCTGATAAAATTATAGAACTAGGACACTCTCCTTGACATTATTTTTATTACTACTTACTGAGAAGACAGAATTTACTTAATCCTACTAGGTAGGTAATCTTTGGGGATTTTAGAGACAAAAGCAAAATACAGTACAGCAAGGAAAACACCTTAATCCTTAGTGCCCTAGCCTGAGTCCCAAAATAGGAAAATGGAGACTGCTGAGGACCGTTTCCTATAGGAATTTGAGGCTAAGAAAGATCACGGTTGTAGTGTTGTACTGTATGTGTTAAATCTTCTGGCAGTATTAGAAATATCTCTCTGTAAATGAAAACTCTACACTGTACATCTTTTATTATTGGTTGTTTTGGGGGTCTCCAGATGGTGTTTCTTTGAGTGATTGATGTATTTCAATTCCCAACTAGCTCTTTGAAAGAATACTTTTACTCCTAAATGGAAAATCTGGTTTTCTGATTTTTAAGGCTTTGTGCTCTAGAATTAAAAGTTATACTTAGAATGAATGTCTGCACAGGAATTTTCTCTCTGAGAAGGTCATTGTCTGTTGTCATCATTACTTGGGAATAGATATTTACAGTATGAGAAATAGAGCTAGATTTTTGTATCTCCAAAAGTTACTTATATATTTATACCTTAAAATTTTTCTCTTTTAAAGTCTCTATTTTAGGTATGCATGAAAGTCATTATTCAGGGGTTTGATGTCCATGTATTTTGCACATTTTTAGTGACCAGGGTTCATTTCAGGACTTGGAATGGGATCTAAATAGCCTCAATGGTTCATAAATCAGTAGAAATAGGTACGGACAGCATTCTCTGATATTCACAAGTCTTTCAAGTGCCGGTGGCTTCCAGTTTTGCCTGCAGTTCCAGTAGGGGGGTGTTTCTTCAAATCATAGTCCTTTCTCAGCATTTGTTCAGTTGGTAGCTGCCCAGGCCCTTAGCTCTGCAGTGATAGTTTACTGCAGCATTAAAGGAGGACTATCTTCAAAAGAGCAGCCAGAGAACTAGTTACCTTCTTAGTTTGTTAAAGGACTAGTTTCCCTTTTTGTTGCTCCCATTTTTTCTCTTTTTAAAGCTGATGTCATTTTTCTAAAGCCCGTAGGCCACTTTGAAATTAAAACTGCTCTATACTTGGTAAGGCTGGGTTCTTTCCATTAATCTATCATATTTTGGAACTGGAATTGATAAATTTGATAGGCATCACCAAAGTCATATTCTTATCCTGATTGATTGCTGGATCATATATTTCTAACCAGCTGTTTTTTTTTCAAGTTGTAAGTTCCTATTGCAAGGGCTGCTGGTAAACCTTGCTGTGTTTTCCAAGCCAAGTGGCCATTGGATAGGCATATGTGTTTAGAGTGTCCTGGCCTCTTCTTCATGGGGCCTATCACTGTCCTTTAATCAGACTAAAAGGTACACTTGAGCTTTTTCAGATAGTCCTTCTTTAAACCTGCAGGATCACAAGTAATCTTTTTAATTTTCTTGTGTCCGTCCGTCTTTAATTTCTCCAGATACTGCAGGCAAACAGCTCGCCGAGGTGTCCCATGGGGGTTTAAAAGCCGCATCGAATGCAGTTGAATTAGCGCCCGTGGCGCAATCCCGCGGCCTGAAATGAACCCTGCGAGGCTGTATATCAGAGGGTATGTTGTTAACTATTGGCCTATTTTTCTATTGGGCAAATTACTCTAACGTTATGGAGATGGGGGCAAAGTTGATTGAGGTTGTGCAAAAAAGATTGACTTTCCCAGAAAGGATCTTTGGGACAGACATCAGTTTTGAGCTTCATACTTTCTTTGGTCCAAAAGGGTGCCCTCCTGACTTCTAGTCCTAGTGGCATAGGTCCACCTATGAAATGTTCTTCCCTGAGATTTTGTTCTATTGTGCCAGAATTTCTGTTGAGAATTCTTTATCTTGCCTCTGTTCACAGTGTTTCATCTTATATGTGTATTAATCTAAATTAAAGCAGATGTGGTGAGTGTTGCCTTCAATTATTCGTTTATGGAATTTTCCAGCAGAGGTTTTAGGTAGTTTGGATGGGCAAGTAACCTGGTTTTTGAAGTCTTTCTGTCCTCAGAACGGATTATGACAGGTCTTTTGCTTGGCGCCTTGTTTCTGTCCTGATGTAGTATAGGCCCTTTGTTTGAGATACTGTGTTCAGAAATAAAACCAAGGAGCAGCCTTTTTTTTTCTGAAGGAGAGTGATTTGTTTTTGGGTGGTGGTAGGGTGGTTATATTATTCTGGTTTTTGGAACCTTTGTAGAAAACACTTTATCCTAGATGCACAAAAACATGGAGTAATATCCCTTCCACAATGGCACAAACCAAATTTTTGACTGATGTGGTGTAACAGACCTCCAGTCCTGTTGAATTGAAAGACAGAACTGCTAAGAAAAAAGTCTGTGTGGTGGCAGCAGCAGCTGGATGTTACCAGTAGTAATATTAGTAAAGGCTCTGGTATAGGAAAAAAGAAAAATAATGTTTTAAAAGCTGATATTCTACTTGGTGACCAAGGTCTTTGAAGATTAGATTCAACATCTTACTTAATTTTAGAGTGTTTGTTTTGCTTTATTTTGGTTGACAAGATTTGCCTTTATTGCCTGACCTGTGTAATATTTATACCAAGGTAATGTCTTTCCTTCCCAGACCTCAGAATATATTATTCAAGCTTACAAATATGGTGCATTTGAGAAGATTCCAGAGTTTATCGCTTTTAGGAACAGGCTGAATAATTCTCTTCATTTTGCACAAGTCCGTACTGAACGGATGTTGTTAGACCTCCTACTTGAAGCAAACATGTAAGTATTGCATAAGAGCTAAAAAGGAACTAAGGGATTAGATCAGATGCTGAGAGCCTTTAATGGACTCATAGGTGGCATTAGCAGGCTTAAGCTAAGGAAAAATGGGGGGTGGGGGAGGAGAAACTTTGTGTTTGGGGGGTGTGGGGGGCTAGGGAACAAAAGGGGACAGACCCTGGTACATGTCATGGAAATGAGAGAGTACTGCCAGGTTCCATAGAGAAGTCAGTTAGGCTATGGGAAATATTGTGTTTACAAGGACCCCTGCAAACTTGGGATTATTTTCTATATCACAGATCAATCAGCTTAGCAGAAAGTATAAAGTCGATGAATCTTCGGCCAGAAGAAGATGACATTCCATGGGAAGCCTTGCGAGATAATAGAGACTTAAATGTTTTCTTCAGCTGGGATCCAAAAGATAGGTAACTGGAAGTAACCCCAAGCAATTTATTCTTGAAGAATTAGGATGACTCTAAGAGTTTTTATAATTTTTTACACAAATATGATAACATGTTTGTTGTAGGGGTCAGAAAAGATAGGTAAGTCAGAGGAAGGAAATAAATCTCACCCCTATGTTGGGATTAAAAGTTAGATCCTTTGTAGCACCATGAAAACAGATTCCAAATAGATTAAAGATTGTGTTAAAACTCCTTAGAAATTCTAGAAGAAAATATAAAATTGAAAAAAAATGGTTGGGGGAAAGCCTTTCTTAGCATTACATCAAATCTGGAAACATAAACGATTAGATTTTATAAATATTAGCCTTCTATATAGAAGTTAATTTGTTAACAAGTTCTAAAGATGTAGTAAGTTGGTAAATTTCTTTATATATATTAATATCCTTTGTATATAAAGAGAACTCTTATTTTTTTTGTTGTTGTTTTTTTGGTTAATTTTCACCCAAGGAGGGAGAGGGAGAGAGAGAGAGAGAATATGTGTGTGTGTGTGTGTTTGTTTGTTTTCCCCATTGATTTTAGATAAGTGTGGAAGGGATGGAGGGAGAGGGAGAGAGAGAAACATCGATGAGCCCTGGCCGATTTGGCTCAGCGGTTAGAGCGTTGGCCTGCAGTGTGGAGAGACCCGGGTTCAGTTCCCGCTAGGGACATGTATCTCGGTTGCAGTTTGTCCCTGGCCCTGGTTGGGTTGTGTGGGTGGCAGCCACTTGATGTGTTCCATTCGCGTCGATGTTTCTCTCTTTCTCTCTCCCTCCCACTCTATCTGAACAAAATATCAAAAAATGTCCTCAGGTGAGGATAAAAAAAAAGAGAGAAAGATCGATGTGAGAGACACACATTGATTGGCTGCCTCTTGCATGATCCTAACTTGGGGCCGGGGATCAAACCTGCAACCCAGGTACATGCTCTTGACTAGCAATTGAACCCGAGACCTTTTTGTCCCCAGGCCTATGCGCCAACTCTGAGCTAAACTGGCCAGGGTGAGAGAACTCTTAACAAATCAGAAGACGATAACTAAAAAGCAAATTAGGTAAAGGAATTTGCCCAAAGTTCAAAGAAATGTATCTTATAGCAATAAATATATATTTTTTATTTTATTTTATTATTTTTTTAATCCTCACTCAAGGACATTTTCGCATTTATCTTCGGATAGAGCGGGAGGGAGAGAGGGAGGGAGAGAGAGAGAGAGAAACATCGATGTGAAAGAGACAGATCGAGTAGTCGCCACCCACATGACCCCAACCGGGGCCGGGGACAAACTGCAACCCAGGTACATGCCCCTAGTGGGGACCGAACCTGGGACTCTATGATCTGCAGGCCAATACTCTACCCACTGAGCCAAACTGGCCAGGGCTATATTTTTTAACCTGTCAGACAAAGATAAAAAAGATTAAAGTACTTGCCCGGCTGGTGTGGCTCAGTGGTTGAGCACTGACCCATGCACCAAGAGGTCGCTGGTTCAATTCCCAGTCAAGGCACATGCCCAGGTTGTGGGCCCAGTCTCCAGTGAGGGGCATGCAGTTGGCGGCCAATCGATGTTCTTACTCATCAATGTTTCTATCTCTCTCTCTCCCTTTCTCTCTCTAAAATCAATAAAGAAAAAAGATTAAAATACTTGTGCTAAGCAAGGTTGTAGAGGAAATGGTGTTGTGTATTTACATGGGGGTAAAACTTTATGTAACCTTTCTTAACCAGGGAATTTTAGTGATATATATCAAGATTGAAAATTCCATATACTGTTTAGTTCAGCAGGTCTGCTTCTAGGCAAGTGGAACCTAAGGAAATAGATGCACAAACATGCAGAGACATGTCTGAGATAGTTCTGAATAGATTGTGACTTGGAGAGTGACAAGACCACATTTAGTAATTTGCTAGGACTTATGGGCATTCACAGCTAAGGTTTATTATAACGAAGGGATACATGACAGGATCAGCAAGGGAAAAATTTACAGGTGCAGTCTGGAGAATTCCATGCACAGACTTCCAATGCTCTCTCTCCTTCTTGTGAGAGCCTATACCACACACACTTCTTTCTCTAGCCATGGCAAATACGGTAATAATGCATGTGCAATGTTTACTCAGAGAATCCCATTAGAGAGTTGTGTTCAAGGTTTCTGTCAGCTGGTTATGTAGGCACCCTCTGTCTAGTGTGTACCAAAATTCCAGACTCCCAGAATGGAAACTGGTATTCACCATAAAGCATAAGTTTGTATAAACAGTTTAGGCACAGTGAGCCACTCTTACCATTTAGAGAATGGTTGGAGTACCAAGTTTCTAAAGATCAGCCAAGAGCTACCCTTGCAAGCAGGCCCTTCTAAAGATAGCTCAGGCTTCTATGTTAATCTTTTCTACACACACTGTCATAAAATTATGCAGTTTGGAAAATAGTATGAATACTGTGAATCCATTTTATTAGTTTAAAATAAATTATATAAGTATTTTTAGTTGTATTTTTGTACTTCTGTATTGCAAAAGTCTGAGAGGATATACAAGCTTATTAATATGGTGGGTACTTGGTTTTCAGGGCATGTTTTCTTTTTATTTTTTACTTTTCTGTCATTTGAATTTTTATATCAATGTATTTTATCATCAGAAAAGTCTCACTCGAGGGGAAAATGACCAGTTAGGTAGGTTGTCATTCCCATATATGGATACCAAATGGGGACTTGGATGATTTTATTTTGTCTGAGATCATTCAGCTAGTAAAATAAAGCTGGGACCATTCAAAGTTGTCTTGTCTGATGCAAGTGAACTTTGAAAAATTTAAAGGCAACACATTGAGTAAAAGGGATGGTTTGGGGATTTTTTTAAAGGGATGTTTCTGAAGAACATAAGAAACTTTCCTTGGAGGAGGAGACCATGTGGTTAAGAATTCGTTCCTTAACATTGAGGCTGATCAGTGGACTTCCAAGTCTTAACCACCCTGTGGAACCAAAGAACTCGGAGAAGACCACTGAGAATGGTGTATCCTCCAGGATTGATATTCTTCGTTTGCTCCTTCAACAGCTGGAGGTGGCCCTGGAGACAGGAAAGCGATTTATTGAGAAGGAAATTCAGGTATTATCAATATGTATTTACTATCAAAGTTTCAGTAATTTATGACTGTCTTTTTAATAATAGGAATTTGGGGTGGGTGAATAGTAAACAGTATGTTGACCCAATTTATGACATCTGTGGGGAAAAGGCAAATAGTACAGACTTGGGGAATTGCAGAGGCTGCCTCAATATCTAAACTGGAAAATGAGGAAAAGGAAAATATCTTTTTTTGGTGATGGTAAATTTTATTTTATTTTTTTTTATCCCCACCAGAGGACATACTCACTGATTTTTAGGGGGAGGGTTGAAGAGGGGAAGAGAGACAGACAGACATTGATGTGAGAGAGACATATCAGTTGGTTGCCTCTCGCACAGACAGGCCAGGAAAGGAACCTACAACCCCAGTATGTGCCCTTGACCAGAAATTGAACCCGAGACCCTTTGTTTCAAGATCCTACACTCTAACCACTGAGCCAAACCAGCCAGGGCATATTTTCTCTATAATGATTTAGTTGTTACCATAGTCCCCTTTTATTCATGGTTACACTTCCCATGGTTATGGTTGGTTACCTGCAGTCAACCACAGTCTGAAAACATTAAATGTCAGTTTCTAGAAATAAACAATTTTTAAGTTTTGAATTGTGTATAATTTTTTTTTTAATCCTCACTGGAGGACATTTTTGCATTTATCTTCAGATAGAGGGGGATGCAGAGGAAGAGAGAGGGAGAGACATTGATATGAGGGAGACACATTGACCGGTTGCCACTCGCACAACCCCAACTGGGGTTGGGGACAAACTGCAACCGAGGTACGTGCCCTTAGTGGAAACCGACCCGGGCCTCTCTGGTTCACCGGCCGACGCTCTAACTGCTGAGCCAAACCGACCAGGGCAGATTGTTTATAAATTTTAAGTAGCATAATGCAATCTTATATTCCCCTCTCTGTTCCACTCCATCCTACCTGGAACATGAATCTTTCCTTTGTCCAGCATTTCCACACTGTATACACTACCTGTTCTTTAGTCACTTAGTCGTTGTCTCAGTACTCAGGGTGTTGCAGTGTTTGTAGTCAACCCTTATTTAATAATGACCCCAAAGCATGGAGTAGTGATGCTGGCAATTCTGGTATGCCAAAGAGAAGCCATAAAGGGGTTCCTTTAAGTGAAAAGATGAAATAAGGAAAGAAAAAAATCGTATGCCGAGGTTGCTAAGATCAACAGTAAGAATGAACCTTATATCCATGAAATTGTGAAGAAGGAAAAAGAAATTTGTGCTATTTTTCTGTCGTATCTCAAACTGCAAAAGTTATGGACATAGTGCGAAATAAATGCTTAGTTAAGGTGGAAAAGACATTAAATTTATAGGTGGAAGACTTAAGCAAAAACCCATGTTCTAATTGCAGCAGTGTGTTGCTCTAGAAAGCACTAATCCTATACTAAGGCTTTTTAACAAAGGGTTCCTTGAAATGAGTGACCACATTCACATAACTTTCATTATGGGGTGTGTGTGTGTGTGTGTGTGTGTGTGTGTGTGTGTGTGTATTATTTATTTATTTTTTTCCCCCTCACCCGAGGACATTTTTCCATTTTTTGTTCAGATAGAGCGGGAGGGAGAGAGAGGAAGAGAGAGAGAGAGAAACATCGATGTGAAGGGACACATCGAGTGGCTGCCACCCTCACGACCAACCAGGGCCGGGGACAAACTGCAACCGAGGCACGTGCCCTTAGCGGGAACCGAACCCGGGTCTCTGTACCGCAGGCCGCCGCTCCAACCGCTGAGCCAAACCGGCCAGGGCTCATTATGGTATATTTTTATAACTTCAATTTTTTTTTGTTATTGTTAATCTCTTGCCTAATTTATAAATTAAACTTTATCATAGGGGTGTGTGTGTGTGTGTGTATAAAAAAATAGTATATACAGGGTTTGGTAATATCCACGGTTTCAAGCATCCAGTGGGGTCTTGGAATGTATCCCTTGTGTATAAGAGGGAAACGACTATAGTTTGCTGATCAGTGGTTTGTAATTTGATCACTAAGATAGGTTTTTATCCAATAGTTACAGTAATTTGTTTTCTTATTTTGTATGAATTTAGAGAACATCACTTTTTCCTTTCTTTTTCAGTATCCTTTCCTTGGTCCTGTGCCTACTAGAATGGGTGGATTCTTTAATTCTGGCTGTTCTCAATGTCAGACCAGTTCTTTTTATCTTGTTTGTGATATTTATGAGCTGGATACCAATGGTTTAGGTAAGTGTGTATTTGCATGAGTGTATTTACTGGGTCTTTGTCATGCAACACTGCACTTATTTAAATGCAACAAAATATAATTAACTTTTTGGAAAAATTTGGAGGAGATGGAAGTTGGAAGCTGTTCTGGAAATGTCTGGTTTAACATACAAGAAAGTACATTCAGAGGTTACAAAGTAATGTTTTAGAAGTTTAAATCCTTTCCATATTTGAAATCTTATTAGGTTCAAAAGTTGAAGAAATTCTTGATTTGTTAAACGATTGTTGGATTTCAGATTGAATTCTTTATTTAAAAATGAAGCCCTGCCCTGGCCTGTTTGGTTCAGTGGTTAGAGCGTCAGCCTGTGGACCAGAGTCCTGGGTTCAGTTCCCGCTAAGGGCATGTACCTTGGTTGCGGTTCGTGCCCTGCCCCAGTTGGGCTTGTGCAGGTGGCAACCAGTCGATGTGTCTCTCTCATATCGATGTTTCTCTCTCTTTTCCTTCCTCCCTCCCTCTCGCTCTATCTGAAGATTAATGCAAAAATGATGTCTGGTGAAGATAAATAAATAAAAATGAAGCCTTTAACTTTGTGGAGAAGAGTTTTTTTCTAAGCTCTCAAACCAGTGAGAATTACAAATATCCTACAGACTATTGCTTTTTTTCCTTTTAAATCATAAAGTTTGTACATCCTATCATTTAGAGTATTTGAAACATAGATTTCTAGTTGTCCTAGAGAATTTTAGGTATTGCTTTTGGCAGAAGGTAATTAATTACTTTATTTTCCTTTCTCTTTTCTCAGTTTATTTTTATTTTTTATTATTTTTTTCTTTCCTCTTTCTCTGTCTCTCAATAATAGAATTTAGGTGCCTAAGAATTTTTTTTTTTCTTTACTGATTTTTGAGGGAAGGGAATGTATAGGGAGAGAGAGAACATCGATTGGCTCCCTTCTGCATGCCCCCCACTGTGAATTGGGCCCACAACCTGGGCGTGTATCCTGACCAGAAATGGAACCAGTGACCTCTTGGTGCATGGGTTGATGCTCAACCACTGAGCTGCACTGGCTGGGTTAGGTGCCTAAGACTCTTAAGAGAAAAGAAAATGCCTTTGCCCATGTGTTGCTTTCATGTATTAAATTGCTTAAAAAATGAATGTTTTTCATTGATTTTCAATTTTAGAGGATACAGTGGAGATCCAGGAGCGAGTAGAGAACAGTCTTAAGTCTTTACTAGAACAATTAAAAGGTAAGCAAGCGGTCTTACTGTGGATTCCCCTTTTGTATCTGATTGTCTGATAATAGCTTATTTTTTGAAATCAAAACTTGCATGAAAATTTGAAAGTAATGCATACTTTTGGTATGTTTAAAGACTTGTTATTAACTTTAAAAAGTTTTCATTACAAAAGCAGTAGATACCTACGATAAAACACTACACAAGTACATATGGTCTTTCCCCCTTTCCCAGCCCCATTTCTTCAGAGGTACGTAAGAACCATTGACACTTTGGAGTCTGTATGCCTTGATACCACCCAAACAGCTCATACATATGTATATGGAAATACATAGTAGTTTTTTGTTTGTTTGTTTTATTCCTCACCTGAGGATACTGTTTGTTTATCATCAGATAGAGTGGGTGGTAGGGAGGGAGGGAGAGAGAGACAGAGGAAAACATCAGTGTGATAGAGCCAAATCGACCAGTTGCCTCCCCCACAACCCCAACCAGGGCTGGGGATGAACCGCAACTGAGGTATGTGCCCTTGACCAGAATCGAACCCGCGACTCATTTGTCTGTGGGCCAATGCTCTTTCCGCTGAGCCAAACCGACCAGAGCTTATAGCACTATTTATAACTATATTTATAACAATGGTGAAATGAGCATCTTGGGACACAAGTGTTTGGGTACTTATTTGAGTATTTTCTTGTGATTAAATTCGTGTAAGTGGAATTATTTGATAAAAGGGTATGCATAAGCATTTTAAATCTATAAGGGTCTTTTCAGGATTTTCAAGAGTCTTTTATTATCCAAATGAAGAATGAGAATTAAAAGATGATCAAGATTATGAGAATTAAATGTGTTATTTGTTATGAAGGTGCATCTCTACCACGCACTTTAGTCTGTTAGTCCTTAATGGCACAAGTTCTTCTAAATTATACACTTGGCGTCTTAATTTTATTATGACAATGGCCTATCTGTGAAAAGGCTTAGACCCTAGAATATGTAAATTATAAAGCCACCTTTTATATTTTGAAGACAATAGAGCAGTAGTCATGTGGCTTTTCAAAGAACTTAACATAGATAGCCTTTGATATTTGGAGGGGAGGCTTTCTGGATTAAGCTTTTATATTTGCTTATTCTTTTGTTTGTTTTTTTGTTAATCCTTACCCGAGGATATTTTTTCCATTGATTTTTATAGAGTGGGAGGGAGGGAGATAAGGCAGGGACATTGATGTGAGAGAGACACATCCTGCATGACCCTGACGGAGGCCTGGGATTGAACCTACAACCCTTCGGTCCATGGGTTGATGCTCTAACTGCTAAGCCAAACCAGCCAGGGCAATATGTGCTTATTCTTTAGTAGATTGTGCATTGTGTTCCTAAAAATGACACTGAAACAAGAGCCGAATAAAACCATGAAATATTTTTTCTGTTTTCAGATGTCTTCAGTAAATGTAAAGGTGACTTGTTAGAAGTTAAAGGTGGCAACTTGAAAACACACCCTACTTTCTTAGAAAATCTAGTCTTCTTTGTTGAGGTATGTTCTGTTTTCTTTCTGAAAAACTAGATTTTTCTTAATTGTATACAGGATTAAACAATTTTAGAAAAATGAACAGATAATAGGCACCATATACCTATAATTTAACCCCTGACCCCTACCTTTTGTTAATTGAAAAAACAATTTAAGTCATTTTCTGAGGAAGCTCCTTCCAAGAAGACCAAGATTTCATTCATAATGCTTAGGTAAATTTCTTGAAATTCACTTTACACCTCTTTAAAGATTTCTTCTCCACTCCCAATCTAGCTGTTTTCTGTTCATTTTCCTTTTTGACTCATCTATTATGTAGTTTAAATTAATTCCTCCAGCTTCTTTTATTTGTGGTTGCTGTTCTCTAGTTACTGAGATTCTGTGTTGAATGAAGGAGGATCCAGGAGCTGATGTAGTAAAATTCTCTTCCTCTTTAGCAGACAGGAGGATCACAGATACTCATAACCCATTATCTTTTCTTTAATTTCTATGGTATGTTTATTTACTTTACTTCGCCTACTAGTCTGTAAGCTTCCTGAGGGCAGTATTCTCTGTTCTGATGACTGGCACATTGTAAGTGCCTAAGATACACTTACTGAATGAATAAATAATAATTGCATGTATACACTGTAGCATAAGAGAAGACATGTAAACATCTAGCTTAATACAGAGGATATGTGCTCACCAACTGGGGAGATTCTCCATATGTGTTTAAGTTAAGGTTTGCAAGTAAGGTACTATCTTACTTGGCTGAAGAGGTGGATAGGAAGAGACATTGTAAAGAACCTTTGGATTCCATGTTTAGGAATTTGTACTTCTCACTTGAGTGAAAAAGGATGTTAATAGATCCTCACTTCCTACAGGGAAGAGAAAGGAAATTGGATCAAGTGGAGGATGGATTTAGAGTTGGGAGAGCCTGAAGAAAGGATAAAGATATAAGCTGTTAGAGCATTGTAAGCAGGAAATGATGACAGTCTGGATCAGTGTGGTGATCATAGAAATTAGAGAGTGGAGAATTAGAGGAGAAATTGAAGGGATTTATTTAGAACAATTGTCAATCTCTTTGTTTAATCCAGTACATTTAACTGTTCCTGATAGATATCTTGAGTATAAATGAATTTGTAATATTTCCTCTTTCAGACTATTTCTATTATCCTTTGGGTGTCCAGTTACTGTGAGAGTGTCCTGCGACCATACAAGTTAAATTTACAGAAAAAGAAAAAGAAGAAAAAAGAAACCAGCATCATCATGGTAATAACAGAGAAAACACAAGTAATAATCTGGCTACATGCTACTTTTTGTTTTTCTGCATGTTGTAAGAGACTTTAGGATCCTCTATGCATTTATTTTCTCTCCCCAATTTTTTTTTTTTAATTACACACCTACATATAGGAAAGTTGAAAGACCCCGTATAATGACACCCAAATATCTTTACCTAGTCTCACCACTTGTTAATTTACCAAATTTGTTTTATTTCTCTCTTTCATTCTCCCTTGTTCCCTCTTTGTTTATTAAATCATTTGAAAGAAAAGCACAAACTTTGTGCTATTTAACACACCAGTATAGAGCAGGGTCAGTCTTTTACAAAACCAGAGTACTCAAGAAATTTAATGTTGATACAATAATTCTATCCTTCAGAGCTTTTCTCAAAATACTAGAATCCTGCTAAAGGATCTGACATTTTAAAAATCTAGAACCCTTCTTTAGCCTGTTGTTTTATCTTTTTTTGTTGAAGAGTCTAGCTAGGTTTTTGGTAGAATGGCCCACAATCCAGATTTGGCTAGTTGTTTCCTCAGATTTAGATTAAACATAGATGCTGTGTCCTTTTTAGCAAATTAAATAAGGAGGCACTAATGTTGTGCTATGCCATTATTGGTGACTTCAGATTTAATTATTTGATAAAGGAAGTATCTACTGAATACCTTTGTTGTAAAGGTACCATCCATCACTCCCTCCTTCACTCCCTCAGTAATTAATAAGTAATCTATGGAATGATTTTTTTGAGACTGAATATTCTCTTTCCCACCAGCCTTTTACCCACTGGTTTTAGCATCCATTGTTAGTCTAACTTACACGAATCATCATTGCATTGACGATTCCACAATGGTGATTTTTAAAAATATGTTTTAATTGATTTTTTGAGAGAGAGAGATAGAAATATCAATTGGCTGCCTCCTGATTCCCCCTGCTGGGGATTGAGCCCACCACCCGGGCGTGTGCCCTGACTGGGAATTGAACTGGGACCTCTCAGTCCATGGTTCAGTGCTTAATCCACTGAGCCACACCAGCCGGGCCACAATGGTGATCTTTTTTTAATAGAATACCTAATTTTTTATTTTTGCAATTTTTATTAATTTATGTCTGTTACAGATGTTTCTCCCTTTCCCTCCTTAAACCCCCCCCCCTTAGCATCATTGTCTGTGTCCACACAATTGTGATTTTTAAAAATTCTGTCAATCTATTACCTCTATTAACTCATTATTCTATAAAACAGAGCTGTCCCACGCCCATTCATATATATGGATGTGTATATATCCCTCCCCCACGTTTTTATTGTTGACACTATTACACATGTCCCTCATTTTCCTTCCCTTTGCCCCCCTCCACCCAGCCCCCATATGTATATTTTTAATACCAATATCTATTCGAGTATCACCGTGGACTCATTTTTTTTTTAATTTACCTTATAATACATTATCATCATTTTATTTTGGATGTTTAAATTTGGCCTAATGAAAGCCAGTTTAAGCTGGTTCTCATTCTTGAACACATCCTCATCCAATTTTGAGCCCTCACATTCTGGAACAGCAAAAATGCTCCAAGCACTTTGTACTTTCCCATTGAACTGAAATCAGAGATTTTTTCAAGAAGTCATGGTGTGTTTATGGGGAATGGTATTTCAAAACAAGATCTAGGTGTTAGGTGTACTAGTTGCTATTAGGGTTTAATAATTTCTAGTTTATGTCTTAGGAGAGAGACAGGGAAATTTCTTATACACACCAACACACACACACACACAGAGTTTTAAATAATTAATTCTTACTGATACTTCTAGCTTCAGTCGAGCATCACTGTTCTTTCTTCCATTCCTTCTGTCATTTCATATTTATAGCTTCCTTTTTGTAGAGTGAGAATCCTGGTTCTCAACAGCATCAATATATTTGTTCATTTGCTGTTTAACAATAAATACCAAATAGTTTTGGAATTGGTGTATCAGTGCCACTACTCATTTCAGTAACAAACTCACTAAATAAAGTTCAGGTTTTTTTGCAGTTCTTTTTTTTTTCTTAGACTATGCTCCACCCAGCATTTTTTAGACATTACAATACACACACACACACACACACACACACATTCCAGTGAATGTAGACAGTTGAGGTACTTTGTAAAAGCACTGGAATGAAAAACAGATTATGTTATTAGTGGGGTGTAAATAAAGGTCATTTGCATTTGTTTGTATTTGATTTTGGAGTTTCCTCCCATCTTTATTATTTCAATTTAATTTTTGAATGTGAAACATTAATATAATTTGTATCCTTTTTCTTAAGGAAAGTTCTTTAGGATTCATTCTGCATATGACATGCTATTTTAATGTTTGAATTTATCCTATCATTTTTAATAGAAGGTTTTTGTTCAGTGGAGCAATATAGTTAGTAACCAGTGTTATTTGAGAATGTTGATGGTATTAGCAGTAATGGTGATTTCCTGCACAATTCAGGAATAACAAATTCAGGAATTCTTTATATTTGTCACTGTGCTGGGTGCTACCATTCATTCAGAAACAAAGTGTACTTAGTTTTGGATGAGAGGCTAAATGAAGGACCATTCTCTCCTTCACTGTGTCTAAGATAATTTAACAATCATGAGTGCAAAGGTATAAATCAGAGTTGCTGTGTTACTCTTTGTGCTAATGGAACCGTATACTCCTAGAACTTGTTAAAAAAGCTTTTTGGTCTTTGGATTTTGTGGTTTTTGAAGTTGTTGCTTTTCTAATTTCCAAAAATAAAAATAGCTTTCCTATTTTTATGATTATCAAAGTAACCTAAAGGTGTAAATAAAGTGAAGATCATCCATATTCCCACCAACCAGTGACAGCCACTGCAAACAAACCAGAATCATGCTCTCTAAGTTCTCAACTTGCCTTTTTGTTAGTTTTTGTTTTTATTTTGTTTCTATTTAATAGGATATCTTGAACATCTCATTTCAGTAAATATATGTATATCTCATTACTTTTAATGATTATATGCTATCCTGTTGTATTAATATACCATAATTTATTCCCATTGATGAATATTTGGTTGGTTCTAATTTCTTAAATATTATAAAGTATGCTGCTGTCAAAATATGGACATATACACAGAGATGAATTTATAATATGATTTCCTTAGATATCTCCTATATCTGAAATTACTATGTATATACATTTTTCCACCCCACAACAGTGTTGAGTGTGTCTATATCCCTACCCATCTGATAGGTAAACATTGGTATTCCCTTTTTTCTCATTTGCATTACAGTTTTTCTTTTGATGTTGAACCTTCAAAGAAGACTGACTTCTTGAATGAAAAGCTGGCTTATTACTTGATTGGCTGGTTTTCTTGTATTTATCTGTTTGTTTGTTTTTTTATCCTCACCCGAGGATATTTTCCCATTTTTTGTACAGATAGAATGGGAGGGAGAGAGAGGAAGGGAGAGAGAGAGAGAAACATCGACGTGAAGGGACACATCGAGTGGCTGCCACCCGCACGACCAACCAGGGCCGGGGACAAACTGCAACCGAAGTACGTGCCCTTAGCGGGAACCGAACCCGGGTCTCTCCGGACCGCAGGTCGACGCTCTAACCGCTGAGCCAAACTGGCCAGGGCTATCTGTTTTTTTAATTGTATTATATGTTGCTGAGATTTCTTTGCTATATTTTTTGTTCCCTCTTTGCCCAAGTTTCCTATTGTGGTAGTAGAAGATTCTGTTTTTTCCAGTTTGTCGTTAGTCTTTTAACTTGAATGATTTTTTTGTGTGTGAATATAGTAAGTAAAAAAAAAAAAAGATTATTTAATCGTTTCTAGCTTAATATAATGTTTACAAGGGCCTTTTCAATTTATGATTGCAGAAGCCATTACCAAAATATTCTTCTGGTACTTCAAAGTATTTATCTAGAATTTATTTTGGTATTTATTATTTTATATTTCAAAAATGTCTAGTTATCTCAGTACCATTTATTCACTTGAAATCACTGTTTTGAAATACCACCATTCAAATTCCCTTATATTCTTTGGTCTATCTTGGACTTGTTTACTTTCACTTTGTCAATTTTTTATATGCCAGTACCTTCTGGATTTAATGTAAGTATAAAATACTCTAATATCTATTAGGGCAAATTTCCCTTAACTACTCTTTTTCAGAATTTTCTTGGCTATAGTTAGTCACCCATCATTTTTCTGTTAGAATATTTTGTTTTAACATTAGAGGAAATCTCAAAGACATAGAGAGAAGAAATGAAGTCTTGGTTCCTCTCATCTCCTTTAGTGTTTCAGGAGATTCTCAGACCAAAGTTATGTAATGACCAAGATAATTTTCTATTGGAATTTCATTTCTAATTCCCCAGGGTGAACTAAACTCTCATTTAAAAAATGCTTAAGTCATTGTTGCTGAGTTAGCATAGTTTGGTGGCAATTAAATTTACCATGGTTATGGGACTGTGTTAATGCCCGAAACTATCTATCCCCGTTGCTGTTAATGGTATTAAGTAATGCTATAGTATGAAATTAGAATAGTTTATGTGATGTAAACACAGGAAATAGGTTTGATAATCTTTCAACTTTTAAAAAATCTTTTTTTCAGCCACCTGTTTTTACCAGTTTTCAAGACTATGTTACTGGGCTTCAGACTTTAATTTCCAATGTTGTGGATCATATTAAAGGGCTTGAAACACATCTAATTGCACTTAAACTTGAAGAACTTATTTTAGAAGACACTTCTCTCTCACTGGTAAGAGAATGTAGGTGATCAGCAATAAGTTATACAAAAATATTCAAATTTTCTTATCTTTATCATATGGACACGGTAATTTTCAATTCATCCTTCTCCCCTTACAGGAATTATGATTCGAAGGTGCCTGCAGTAGTAGTTTGTTATTTTGGGGGTGGGGGTGGCAGTGGTAGATTCCTCTCCTCCTTTATTTCCAAGCCCCCTACTCTCCCTCTCCCTGCCTGCCCCATCCCTTCTTTCTGTACATCATGGGTTTGTTTGTTTTACTGTGAAAACTGATGATGAATTAGGAATAGAGTTAGTACTGTTTCTGTTTTGAGCACCAGAGGAAACCAGATATATATATATTTTTTTAATCCTCACCTGAGGACATCTTCCCATTTTTTGTTCAGATAGAGTGGGAGGGAGAGAGAAGAAGAGAGTGAGAGAGAGAGAGAAACATCGACGTGAAAGGGACACATCGAGTGGCTGCCACCCGCATGACCAACCAGGGCCAGGGACAAACTGCAACCGAGGTATGCACCCTTAGTGGAAACTGAACCCAGGTCTCTCTGGACCACAGGCCGACACTCTAACCGCTGAGCCAAACCGGCCAGGGCCAGATATAATTTTGAAGTCCAGGGATAATCTCCTCAAGTGAGAATTTACCTGTTGCTGAGTTGACTGACTTCTTTGCCACCCTAGCAAAGAAGAGATGCTGGACATCAGAAGTAATTATGTCAGTAATAATTAGGCTACAGCAAGCCAGCCAGAAAAGGAATGGAACTAAGAATAGAATCAAAGGTGCAGTCATCAGATTTCTCCTGATAGCAATTTTAGGCAGGTTTCTTAAGATTCTGTTGGCAAAATCCCTGTAAAGTCTTACCTTTAAAATGTGGATTCTGCCCTGGCCGGTTTGGCTCAGCGGTTAGAGCATCGGCCTGCGGTCCCGAGAGGCCCGGGTTCGGTTCCCGCTAAGGGCATGTACCTTGGTTGCAGTTTGTCCCTGGCCCTGGTTGGTCGTGTGGGTGGCAGCCACTCGATGTGTCCCTTTCATGTCGATGTTTCTCTCTCTCTTCTTCTCTCTCCCTCCCACTCTACCTGAACAAAAAATGTCCTCGGGTGAGGATTTAAAAAAAAAAAAAAAATGTGGATTCTTTTTAAAAAAATCAAATAAAAGCTTTTAGTCAGAAATAATTGAAGATTTAAAGGTGTCAGATGAGTTAACATTTACCAACCTAGAGTAGGTTTAGGGTTTGATAGAGGCCAGAGGGCAGTGCTGATGCTGCCCATTTCTAGCTAGGTGCTCCAGTGATGAAACTCTGATCTGGAGGGAATGCTTCCCTTGAGTATTGTCTGACTGCGCCTCTGCTGATGAGGGAACTCATCCAATAATCTGATGGCAGGCATCATCCTAGCCCCAGACTTTCCCAGGAAAGGGAAAGAAAGCAATCTTGGTTGGCACACCAGCTATAAAAGATTGCAAAGCTCCTCTTTTTATAAAGCTTCAACACAGTGGTGGTGGGTGGTTACTGTGGGAAGGGATTCAGAGTATTTAACATTTCCAGAAGACTGACTAAAGAGAGCAGACACATTGAGATGGGAAACTAGAAGTTTGGTTTTAGCCTGGTAAGCTGTATATTCATCTGCTTTCCATGTATATTAGAATTATTATAGACTTCAGTGGTGATTAGAAGAAGCCCTAATTGATGCATTATTTATTTCTTTAGTATTTTTGTTGTCTTTTTTTTTTTTGTGAACCTCACCCAAGGATATTTTTCCATTGATTTTTAGATAGAGTGGAAAGGAGGGAGGGAGGGACAGAGAAACATCAATGTGAGAGAGACACATTGATTGGTTGCTTCCCACATGACCCTGACCAGGGCTGGGGATGGAATCTGTGACTCAGGTAAGTGCCCTTGACTGGGAATTGAACCTGAGACCCTTTGGTCTGTGGGCTGATGCTGTAACTACTGAGCCAAATCAGCCAGGGCTTGTCTTCTTTTTTTAAAGCCTTACTTTGTTTTGAAAAGTAAAATATGCCCATGACTAAAACAAATTTTTTTTTCCCCAAAGAGTAAAGAAAGACAATACAGCAAAATGTCTCCCTCCACTCTAACCTGTTCTCTAGTTAGTTCCATTTCCAAGAAGGAACTGCCATTATCACTCATCTATAAGGATGTTATGTCTGTTTTCCTTCCCCCATGTTTTGCCTTGAAGTACAAGTAATAGCATCCCATACCATTGTTTTGTCTCTTGATTTTTGTACTTAGTCTATAGGAGACCATTATGTATGAGTAATTTTCTACCTTATTCTTTTTTTTCATTTGATAGTATTTCATTGTTTTTGTTTTTGTTTTTTCATCCTCACCAGAGGACATTTTTCCATTTTTTGCACAGATAGAGTGGGAGGGAGAGAGAGGAAGAGAGAGAAACATCGACGTGAAAGGGACACATTGAGTGGCTGCCACCCGCACGACCAACCAGGGCCGGGGACAAACTGCAACCGAGGTACATGCCCTTAGCGGGAACCGAACCCGGGTCTCCCCGGACCGCAGGCCGACGCTCTAACCGCTGAGCCAAACCGGCCAGGGCTATTTCATTGTTTCTTTACACACAAACATTTTGTTAGAGAATTAGAAAATAGAGAATAGCACCTCCCAGTTCCCCGCTTCAAATCGGTCTCAGTCCCAGCATCCAGAATCATTCTCACCTCTTCCTCTTCTGTATTCCTATAACACATTTGTATCTGCCACTAGCCTTTATGACTTCCAGGCACTTGTGAACCCTTTAAAGGCCTAGTAATTGAATCCTAGAGAAGTAGGTACATCCCAGATAGGATTCTTGCCTTCTAACTTCCACTTGAGAGGAGAGACACTTGCTGGTCCTTCTGGAACACTTACATGTAAAGAAATCTGCTAATTTGCCCTGGCTGGTTTGGCTCAGCAGTTAGAGTGTCGGCCTGCGGTCCAGAGAGACCTGGGTTCGGTTCCTACTAAGGGCACATGCTCATACATAATGCCGGTTGCAGTTTGTCCCCGGCCCTGGTTGGGGTCGTGCGGGTGGCAACCACTCCATGTGTCCCTTTCACATCGAAGTCTCTCTCTCTCTCTCTCTCTCTCTCTCTCCCACACACACACACACATTCTATCTGAACATAAAAATGGAAAAAATGTCCTCGAGTGATGATTAAAAAAAAGAAAGAAATCTGGTAATTTGTAGTTGCAGATTTGGAGCTGTTTAACTTTTTAGACCAAATCCAAAGTCATTCTTTATTTGAAACTCACATCCCCTTTCCCGAATACTATAGAAAAACAAAAACTAAAAATTACAGTACCTATTATTAAAAACACAAAATATTTTATTAAAAGATTGCACACTTGAATGAATGTCCATTGCTTTATGTGGTTGGGTTTTGCTGGGTATCTGAGATTTTTAATTAGTAGATATAAGTTTATTGAGCTTGCTGTTGTTGGCTTGTAGAAATATGTGGATCAAAGACCTGGCTGTAGAGAGATGCATACAGATTAATTTGGAGATAGGATATAGGCACAAAAATCTGAGCTAGTCAAAAAGAGTCTTACTAGGGAGAGGACATTTGAGGATTAATAAGTTTTTACCAGGCAGACAGACAGGAATGGATGAAAGGAATTCCAAGTAGAAGGAGACAGACAAAAGCATGGAGGCAGGAAAGTGAATTGTGTGGGGCACCATGAGCCAGTTTGCAGAGCCCAAAACACATGGTGTGTGGGAAGGACTGCCGGGTGTGAAGGTGACAGGCACAACAGCCTGTTGCTGTGACTGAGTGGTTCTTGTTCAAAGATCTGTCTGCCTTCTAAAATGAGAAATAAGATTTCTCTTTTTTGAGTATCCTAGAGGTTATCCTTAATTTGGGGCTACTCTAGATTTTTCAAGCCCTGTGTCTGTCCTCTTTTGACCTTGGGAAAGTCACTTAACCTTTGGGTCTCAATTACTATAAAATGGAAATCATAGTAATACTTACTTTTTGGGATTATAATGAGATTAAATTTTTATGGCCTGCTTTTGTGAAAGTTATGCATGCACCAGCCACCTAATATAGGATGCATATAGTGCTGGGTACTTGTCTTTTGGGGTTAAAAAAACATCAATTCAGCTTCCTTTAGGTTACTTCTTTCCTTTCTTTCTGAATTTGAAACATAATGAATAAGGCCTCTGGACTTCTACTTCCAGTCCTGATCCCCCTGCCTCCTCCCCAGGGGTATCTGCTGAAACTGGTTGTGTGCCAAGACCCTTTTTCTTTGTTTCATTTGTATTCATAGAGAAAATACACAGTATTATTTTGTATCTTTAAAATCATCTGATTTTAATATAAATTTATAATATACTCTACTATCTGTTAGGTTTTTTAAATAAATGATATACTCTATTTTATTCTGAAGCTTGACATTTTTTCACTCAACCTTATATTCATGAGATCTGTTCAGGCTAATGCATATAGGTTAATCTTACTCTTCTAAACAACTGTTTAGTATTCAAAATATGAATGCACCACAGCCATTGGACATTTCAGCTTGTTTCTATAATTTACTTTTACATACAATACTGAATGAAATGTATTTGTACATACTTTCTTAAGTACATTTGTGTTTCTTAGGTAGAATAGATCTCAAGTAGTAATATTGTTGGGTCATAGGATGTTCTCACCTGGTCCTTTTAGGCTTTGGGATACAGCCAACTTCATGTAAACCTAACCAGTCCTCAGTCAGCCTCCTTTCTGTTTGAACACTCCATCTCCTTTATTTTTTGTGGTCTCTGCCACAGGTCAAATGAGCAGCAAATATTTAACTCCCACATTTGAGTAGGCTGAAGAAAGCTTTGGTCTTTTTTTAGTTATTTGGCCTCTGGAACCCATAGACTTTTCCATATGGAAGGAGACTTGTTGATACTGTAACTAAAAAAGATGATACTGGTAGATTTGATGCCTTTATTTATTTATTTTTATGCTCACCCGAGGATATTTTTGCATTTATCTTCAGATAGACTGGGATGGAGAGAGGGGAGAAAAGAGAGAGAGAAACATCAATGTAAGAGAGGCACATTGAGTGGCCGCCATCCACACGACCCCAACTGGGGCAGGGACAAACTGCAACCGAGATACAAGCTCCTAGTGGGAACTGAACCCAGGACTCTCTGGTCTGCAGGCTGATGCTCTAACCACTGAGCCAACCCAGCCAGGGCAATTTGATGCCTTTAAAGAGTGGCTGTGATAATGTTTACATTAATAATAAATTTGCCTGGCTGGAGTGACTCGACTGGTTGGAATGTCGTCCCATGCACTGAAAGGTTGCTGGTTCGATTCCTGATCAATGCACACATCTGGGTTGCAGGTACATACGGATGGCAACTGATCAGTGTTTCTCTCACATCGATGTTTCTTTCTCTCTCTCTCATTCTCCCTTACTCTTTTTTTTTTTTTATCCTCACCCGAGGATATTTTTCCATTTTTTGTACAGATAGAGTGGGAGGGAGAGAGAGGAAGGGAGAGGGAGAGAGAGAGAGAAACATAGACGTGAAGGGACACATCGAGTGGCTGCCACCCGCACGACCAACCAGGGCCGGGGACAAACTGCAACCGAAGTACGTGCCCTTAGTGGGAACCGAACCCGGGTCTCTCCGGACCGCAGGCCGATGCTCTAACCGCTGAGCCAAACTGGCCAGGGCTCCCTGTCTCTTTAAAAAACATTTTTTTTCTTTCTTGGTTTTAGAGAGAGAGGAAGGGAGAGATAAGAAACATCGATGAAAGAGAACATCAGTTGGCTGCCTCCTGCATGCCCCTCACTGGGGATCTGGTCCATAATCTGGGCATGTGCCCTGACTGGAAATCAAACCGGCGACCTCTTGGTGTATGGGTCAATGCTCAACCACTGAGCCACACTGGAAGGGCTACCTTTCTCTTCTCTAAGCATGTCCTCAGATAAGAATTAAAATAATAATAATAATAATAATAATGATAAATTTTTTATGTTTTTTCTGATGAAACTGAAAATCAGAAATCACGATTTTCCCACTTTGTACAGCTTATAACAAAATACTGATTTTATGTCCACACTAGTAACAATTTTCTACTTTTTTTGAGGAAAACTTAGAAATGTCAGTTTTACTTTATATTAATGACAAAGCTTACTTGAAAGAAATAGGGTCTCAGTGAAAAATCACATGGAAAAATATACATCTGTAATGAGATTTAGCCTTTGCATTTTATGAAATTGAAAATGACACGCTATTCCAATGGAGCTTGCAGTGAGACCATTGGTAATGGTCATTTTAATTTATAGCCGAGGAACTGTAACCGGGGGGGATGCTTTCTGAGCGGACCACTAATTCTTGTCTCCTTTGTAGGAAGAGAGAAAGTTTTCAAAGACTGTGCAAGGGAAGGTGCAGAGCAGTTATCTGCACTCACTTCTGGAAATTGGGGAGCTGCTGAAAAAAAGACTTGAAACCACAAAGAAACTAAAAATTTAAGGAAGTGTGAACCACAGGCACTGATGACTCTCTACCAGAAATTATATCATCTTCCCAGGCAACATCTACATTGGGTTGACCATCATTTTAATCCAGAACTTCCTCATAAAATGCATGAAGGACTTTGATCGTGAATTAATTTTTTAGGTATTAAATGTATACAACTGATTAAATTATTGTACATAAACCAGAAGCAGGACCCTCATCTGGGCTTGACCACTTTTTATACATATTCATATGCATATGGCAGCCACAAGAGAACCCCACTTTTCTTCTGCCCTTCTCTCACCAGGAACATCTGGTGGGGGAGGGTCCTACAAAAGCAGCAATAGAAATTAAACATAAAGCATTGACCTCAGAGCAGCTGAATGGCCCTACTGTTACAGCAGTGGACATTTTGGTCTGGTCCTTGAGCCTTAGGAAACGAAGGAGAAGTAGATTGGGGACCATGACTGGGAGCAGGCCCTCTTTCCACATTAGCAGTTTGGTTTTGAGGCTTCCTCAGCTGCTTGCCTTCCACAGAACCCAAGGCAGGTACCCAAAGGGCGTCAGATGAAATTTGGCATAAGCACCTGCCACTGAAGGGCACCACTCAGACAACCACAGGCACTCATTTTTTGGCTTAATCGTCCTGATAGCCAAGATATCCCCATCCTAGCTCCAGTGAGCGTTAAATCACAGTTGGGCTCTAAGGCTTCTGTTAACTTGCAGCTGTTTGGAGGGGAAAGCAGTGCAGACCACTCCTAAGCCTGCTGAGGACTAGCTTGCTGCCTTTCATCCATTTGGAAAGATGGGAATCACTTTTAAAGAAAAGTGTACATAATTTATGCAGGCAAGTGTAATACCAATGTCATTGGTTTTGTGAGATATATATATGTGTATATGCTTTTACATATATATGTATATTTTCAAGCATATGTGTGTGTGTGTGTATATATATATATATGCTTGAAAATAAAGATATAATACTGTAGTGGGGGTTTTTCTGTTTTGTTTTTTAAGTGGGGGTTTGAGAGGAAGGAAGGAATGTATATTATGGACTTAACCTAGGTTTAAGTTTTAGGCTGGCAAAAGAAATTGTTCTCCATTGGTTTGGAGGTTCGGTTTACTTCAATCTTGAGGTTACACCAGGCTGGTGTTTACATTGTTCACCTGGAGCTCCCTAAGACTATAGTTCTGAAGTAGGTCTGACAGAAAAGATCAACATTGCTCTTGAAAAAATAATACAGTTTATATTGCTTTGATAACTTCTTTGTGTTTGAATCTGTGCTTCTGTTTTTGGTCTTTGTTACCTAAATACTGTTAAGTTAGCAATTTTGTAAGAGCAAAGAAATGAATTTGATGAGGAAATTCAAGCATCTGGTGGAGGATTGGTCTTGAAGACCTTAAATGTCCTTTTCAACTCACTTCTCCAGTGAAATGTGATGCTTTTTTTTTTTTTTTCAAAAGCAACCAAAAGAGCTTGGAAAGTCTCTGTATGCATAGCAGTTGTATTTTGTCTCCTCATCTTGACGTTCTTAGACTCACTTTTGATAGGGTGATTAATAACTGTTTAAACTTCAAAGGAAACTTTTTAGAAAATTACTGCATTACTACATTACCCATTTAAAATAAGACTTGTTGGAAATCTTAGTCCATCAGGTAATTTCAAAAAATTGCTTATGATGTAAATTGGTAGCCACAGCTGTCACACCCCATCCCCCAAAGGAAGAACTGATTAAGATGAATTGAGAATTCTGATTGATTTCAAATGTAATTTAATGACAACATATCATAATTTCATATAACTATGCCTGTTTAGATGGAATTTTGTATGATTAGAGGGTGGGGTATGTGTGTATGGCATGTGTTTTTGAAATGTTTCTTTGAAAATCCAAAAATACTGTACATAAAAGTAGAAACAAGTCATCAACTATGATCAATCTAGCATGTGTGTGCTCAGTGGGCTGGCCTTGGTCCTCAGGGACAGTGTGACTCCAGTGGTCTACCTAACTAGTCTCTTGCCTAGGGGCATCTGGGACCTCTACTAAAAACTCAAAAGGTGGGTTTTAGGGACAATGTTACGTCGAGGTTATGCTTCCGTTGTTACTTGCTGATTTTCCTACTAAATGTAGCATTTCAATTAGATCCAACCTCTTATGTTTTGAGAAAACTGTAAAAATAATGAAATTATGTAGAAATGGCCAATATCTTTTATTAATCTGTTTTTTTTGGAAACTGTCATGCACTATAAATTGTGTACAGTTAAAGTATATATATATATGTGTATATATATATATTCTTACATGAGTAAAAAGCACCCTGTCCAGCAATCGTATGTCATTGGTATTTGAAGAGAATTCTTACATAACCCATTGCTGCTGCTGCTGTTTTTGGTTTGTGTGGGTTTGTTTTGTTTTTGTGTGGTAAATTGCTATTTAAAAAAAAAAAAAGGAAAGGAGAAAAACACGACTACTGTTTACAGACTGAAAAATTACTGCTTTTTATACTACTGAGATCCTAAGTTAAGACTCTCCAAAGCAAACATTCGGCTTAAACCATTTGTCTGATGTGGATAAAAGGTAGAGAAATTTTTAGTGTTCTCCAAATAATGAAAAATGTACAAATGCTTAGATGTATTGCCCATCAATTTTGTATATTTTCATAATTTTAATTGTTCAAATTGCATTATATTTTGCAATCACTATGTTCAATCTGGATTTGTCTTTCATTTTAACTTTTAATATAAAAAGGGGTTTCAATGTATCTATGGCCTTGTTATTGAAACTTCCTACTTATTTGATGTGATATATTAAAATGGGAAGTATATATTCTTCCTTCTTCAGAATTAAGCATAGCAAGTCTACTTGAAACTGGATGGGTTAATTTATATAAACAACTTTATTTTAAGTTGGCATTTCTGCCTGGTTCATTATTGTTCAGATCCTACAAGCTACCTTTTAAATGGTACAGTTCATCTCAACTTTGTATTTAGTGTTACATTCCCCAGCAAAACTGTAATATTTGTGAATTTAAAATATATTCCAAGGCCATTAGTCTTTTTGTTTAAAAGTAGTACCTTGTGTGCCAGCATTCAATAATTCAGTATATGTGTATTGAGTACTTATTTTACTAGATGCCACATTCCATTTTGGGCTCTGCTGATATAATGGTAAATGAGACTGTACATCCTAGTTAGTGGCTGAGGTGGGAAGAGAGACAATAAGTACTAGCTTGTAATTGAGTCCTGTTTAATAAAATAACTCAGGGTATGTGATAAACTGGGTCCTGAAAGGACACTTCGCTGCCATCTGACCTGAATGAGAAGTCGTCCGTGGAAAAAGGAACAAAAGTTCAAAGGCCCCAAGGCAGGAAGCAACTAAGTATGTTCCAGTAACTGGGACTTACTGAAAGTTGTGGAAAGGGAAAGGTAGGGATTGAGGTAGAAAGTAGAGTGAGGATCACAGCAATAAGAACTCTGAGGCCAGGAGAAGGAATGAGATTTTGGTGCAAAGTTAACTGGAGGATTGCAGGACAGGCTAACATGACTTATTCAAGAATATGTGAATCTACAGGCTAAGACTAAGTTTAATCAGCCACACTGACAGCACAGTGGAAAGAGCTGTTTGTTTTTCTTCTTCATTTCCTTTCTGTCCTGTGATTATTAAGAGCTCTTATTTGAGCCCTGATAAGCCAGATTTTGCCTGCTTCCACCCCAACGCTTTCCTTGAGCAAAAGGTGAGTACTTGGATATACCTCACTGCCATTTTTAACTTTCCCCAAAAGGAGGGCTCAGGGTTATACTTTTTTCTTGTTCACCAATTTTTAGATGTTATCACTGCCTGATGCAGACATGTGTTTCATTCAAGTGGAGGGTAGTTAACTGTGAGTCAAGTGCTTATAAAAATTATTTGTGGGGTCCCTAAAGTACTTTATGCTTGAGGAGCACAGAGTTTTTTTGTAACCTCCAGCTTCCACATATCCCAGTAAAAGTGGGTCCCAGGTAATATACTACTTTACATAAGAGAAAAGCAGTCATTGCATATGAAGTTACTACTTAAGACCACCCAGTGGGGTAAGGGTTGAACAAAATTCAAACTGAAGCACTAATGAGCTAAAATCCAGATAACCTCTGCCCTGCACCACATATCATTTCACATTCTTAGTCTTGATGACCATATTCAAGTTCTCACTCCATCTCGGTTCTCTACTGAATAATCAGTCATTCCTGATGTGATTCTAATGCCAACATTTTGTGCCACCAACAACCAAGGACTATTTGTAAATTAAAATTATTCTTGGCAACATTTGGGATAGCTTGCAAGTTCCTTAGAATAGGTATGTTCCTGTTGGGTCCAGGGTCTCATTTGCTTCATGTTATCTGGAAATTGCTTCAAAATATGTGGCTCAAATGCTACTAATCTGTAATGAAGGCTATGGACTAGTTTCTAATTGTTTTCTATCCAATGCAACACATGGATTTTCCTGCATTTTTCGTTTGTTCCCAGTGACTTTAAATACCAATCTGGCTAAAATGAAGGAACATAAACAATTTTATTTGCCAACTCTGTTCAACTTAAATTTCTTTGTATGCAATTAGACATTTTTATTTTTTTTTATCTTATCCTCACCTGAGGACATTTTTCCACATTTTGTTCAGGTAGAGTGGGAGGGAGGGAGAGAAACATCGACATGAAAGGGACACACCGAGTGGTTGCCACCCACACCCACATGACCCAACCAGGGCCGGGGACAAACTGCAACCGAGGTACATGCCCTTAGTGGGAACCGAACCCAGGTTTCTGGATCGCAGGCCAATGCTCTAACCGCTGAGCCAAACTGGCCAGGGCTTAATTTTTTTAAAAAAATTTTTTAGAGAGACAGAGAAACATTGATGTGAGAGAAATACATCGATTGGCTGCTCCTGCACACCCCCTACTGGGGATTGAGCCTGCAACCCAGGCATGTGCCCTGACAGAATCAAACTGGGACTTCTCAGTCCATGGGACGACACTCATTCCACTGAGCCACGCCAGCCACACAGATACAATTAGACATTATTTCAGGAGCTGTATTTGATATTGTTAAATATGAAAGTGGGAATGCTATGAAGTTTACCATTGCAGATACTACTCATCACTCCACAAAACAGATTTCAAAGTCAGTATAATTAATGCTCCTCCTCCTGCTTTAAAAATTTTTTTTGATTTTAGAGAGAGGGAGAGAAAGATCAATTTGTTGTTCCACTTACTTATGCATTCGTTGGTTGATTCTTGTATGTGCCCTCACTGGAGATCAAACCCACTAACTGAGCTACCTGGCCAGGGCTCCCTCTGCTTTTAACTGACAGTGACGAAGTAACAGATGACAAACAATCCCTTTTTCTTTTAAACGTCCACATTGGGCTGAAGTGTATCATTTAGCTGTCTAAAATTGAACTTGGAAAAAACCTATCAGATTATATCAGCAAAACTAAGAATTTCATGTACATATCTCATGAAGTATGGGAAATAATTACACTGAGGTTCATTAACATTGCCATTCAGTTTTAAGGGCAAGAAAATGTGAACAATGCAATTTACCACCCACAACCAGTCCACTTGAGTCTGAACACCAGTGTAAAGGAATTAAGGTAGGCTTTGAATTAGGACCAGCTTCCAGTGTTACCAGGAGAGTCTGTTACCTTGGTAGAGTGGAATCCATACCAGCTTGGATTAAAAAAGTCAAAGGAGAAAGCAGGTCATAGTCCAAAGTATAATTGTTAAAAGAAAACTGAATGGCTTCAGGTCCACTTAACCAAAACATGGAAACTTTAATTGGATCAGAATTACACCTTTCAACGATGTGGGCAGTACATTCTTTATAGCACCAATTCCTTCTGAGAGGGAAATTCACAGGCCATCTGAATAAGTGTTCTAGCTGTACATGAGTACCAACAGAGATGTCCCAAACATATATCACCATTAATGTCTGGGCACGCTCAGATTTCTTATATCCCAAGAGGGTCTCACAGCCAGCAGGTAATTCTCCCTTCCCACTCCCACCAAACTCTGGAAAACCCTCGAGTTCCTTTTTATAGCTCCTCCTTCTCCGCCCCCTTCTTCTGGAAGGCAGTCAAGATGTTTAAACTCTTTTGGAGCTCTTCCTTCTTCCCGTCACTCATCTTGTTCTTCTCAATCAGCTTGGTGATTCGGGTCATCTCTGAGGCTGGGAAGTCCTCACCTTGGTCTAAGACCTTCCCCATGATCTTCAGGTACTGCTCAGCCCACTTCTTCTCAGTCTCCTTCACACTTGCAAGGTTATCCTGCCCCCGCTTTAAGAGGGCCTGGCGGGCCTCCACGCCAGAGGCCCTGATGAACTCTCCAGCAAGGGTGTCATATGTAGGCAGGCAACCAGGCATACCTAGGTAGACCCCTTGCCCCTTCAGCCAGCGCTGGATGGCTCCGACCTTAACCGCCCCACTATATAGGATTGGGTTCTCAAAGTCCCCATCCCGGAAGAGGTAGAAGATTGGGTAGTTCTCCTTGTCCAGCTTGTATTTCTCACTCAGCTCCATATTCAGCTTGTCCCCATAATCTGTGAACAGAAACCAGGTATGAGGAGCAAGACCATGAAGACAGTGGGGCAGCAGATTGCTATGAGGCTAAGCTGAGAGGAAGAAGCATCTTGGCTGTTTGAATTCCTCCTCTGCTACTTCCTAGCCAAGCAGCATTAGTCAAGTCACATTCAACCTCTCTGAACTTCATTTTCCTCATCTTTTTGAAAAATGCTAGTTCTTCTGAAATGCTAGTTTATTGTATGTCCACTATGTGCCAGGTACAAGCTCTCTGATCTCAAGGAGCTCATATTCTAAGGGTGAGAAGAAAGAACACAAACATGAACATAAATGATTAGAGCCATGATGAAAATAAAATAGGGTGATGTGACAGTGGGTAAGAAGGCCCACTTCAGGTAGTCATGTCTGTGGTTTTGACATGAGCAGAGGGACCTAAATATCAAGGAACCAGACACCTGAGGATCTGGGAAGAGTGTCTATGGTAGAAAGGACTGGAAGTGCAAAAACTCTTTGAGGCAGGAATGAGATGTTATTTAAGGATTACAAAGGCCGGTCTGGCTGGAACTTAGTGAGAAAGGGGAGCGTGTAGTAGGTAATATAGTTCTTACCACAAGTGGGCTGTTGGGAGGACCCAATGAGGGATATATGCATTTAACTTGGCAGAATTAAGTGTTCAATAATGGTAGCTGTTTAGTATTTGCTGTGTCCTACTGAAAAGGAATAGCTGTCCCAGGGCTGATGCTGTGACAACTGGTTTCTTACACCGTCTCCCAAAATAGCCAAGACCACCTATCTCAAGGCAACAGAATAGCAAGTGGGGTTCCAACCCAGTTCTGCCTCTTTAAACTCTCCTATCTTGAGCAAGTTACTCTAAGCACTGTTTCTTCATTTGAAAAATGGGGGTCATAATACTTCATAGTCACAAGAATAAGATACATGTAAAATACTCAGTACAGTGGCCTGGCACACAGTAAACATTTGATAAATGTCAGCTATTATTATTCTCAAAGCCCGAAGAGAGTGAATTTACAGGTGAATTTACAGAATTGACCAACAGCCCTGGAGAAGTGTGCCAGCTACCTCTACCCAGGACCAAATTCTTGAGCTTACTAGAGGCTCAAGCATTCCAGCTAGGCGGAAACGGAGAGAGGGAAGAACCCACTACACTTGGGAATAAATACTTCGGTTGCGTTCTGCATGGGCCACTTCCTCCCCCACAGCCTTGAGCTTTAGTTCTCCTTTAGCACAACACAGAGATAGATAATCCATCTCATTTCTCGGGTGGGGTTCAAGTGAAGATTAAAAATGCAATGAATGTCTGCATACATCTTTACAGACTGTAAACCACTAAATGTTGGCCACTATTATTATTAAGCTGTCACTGTAGTTGAGAGCTGCCCTTGGTTTAATGGCAACTCTGGTGGATTTGAGCTAAAGCCAAAATCCAGTAGTTTTAGTACGAAAGATCTGAAATGAGGATGTAAGATCGGACTATACCGTCTCTTAGGAGACATGACATTCCCTCCGACCATCATCTCCTGCAAGGAGAGCTCCAAGTTCTCACGGTTTAATGTCAGTGGAGGGTAAAGGGTGAAGGACGGTGGATCCCCTTCCCTCAGGCACCTGCAAGGCTGAGCTGAGGTCCCGTGGTCACAGAATCTGCTCAAGCTAAGCTTGCAGTGGGTACCAGATTTTTTGAGAGGCCATGACCCCGTTTTGACTCTTTGTGTGTGTCTCAGACAGAAAGGTGCTGGGTATTCTCCCTACACGTAGAGAAATAATTCCTAGCTTCCTCCCTCTCTGCCCTTCCCAGTTATTTGGACTTGGCCATACCTGAGATCCCCACCTCTGCCACCAAGAGATCATCACTGGAGGCTGCGTTTTCAGCCAGACGCTTGAACTCATCCTGCTTCTCACCGTAAGGGTACTGGGTGTCGAACTTCACCAAGACGAACTTGCTTTTGGGAATGACCTGAGGGTGGATAGAGTTGAGTAGGTAGTGGTGGGGTTTCTAGGAAACTTTGAGGCGAATTGCCTTTCCCAACAGACCCCTGGTTAAGCCCACAAGAGAGAGAAGCTCTCATATACGAATAGTCTTTCATTCACTCACTGATTAATTTAACAATTTAGTGGTGAGTACCTCATTAGGTGCTTGTTCACTCATCAAAGACATATAACCCTGTCTAGAATAAATAAAGCTATAGATGTACTAAGGCCTTCTCCTACAGTGGCCTTTTGGTAAGGCCAAGGAGACCCTTAGTACACAATACATTGGCCCCTGTCATGCCCATCATCCCAGGGGCCCTTTCTCAGGAAACACTGAACCAGAAATCTGACAAAACACAACCAACTAACCATCTATAAAGGAGTTGGCACCATGGAGGAAGCTTTCGCTAGGGAGTCCTCAGTTCGAACTCTGTAATTTCAGGGCTCAAGGGAAGCTGCTGAGAGGCCAGGCTTGGGACAATGTCCCCTCCCTAGACCACAGTTCCCTCTGGCTAGATCTCTAGGTACTAAACTATCAGGACCAAGACTTTTAATTTTAAAATTCACTTCACCACTGTAGCCATTTAAAAGTGTACAATTCACTGCGATTTAGTACATTAACAATGTTGTATAACATCACTACTCTCTAGTTCCAGAACATTTTTACCACCTGAAAAGGAACCACGTACCCATTAAGCAGCCATTGCCCAGTCCTCCTTCCCTCCAATCCCCAGCAATCACTAATCTGCTTTTTGCTCTATGGATTTGTCTACTCTGATGGAATCATACAATATGTGGCCTTTTGGCCCTGGCCAGTTTGGCTCAGCGGTTAGAGCGTCGGCCTGCGGTCCAGAGAGACCCGGGTTCGGTTCCCGCTAAGGGCATGTACTTTGGTTGCAGTTTGTCCCCAGCCCTGGTTGGTCGTGTGGGTGGCAGCCACTCGCTGTGTCCCTTCACATCGATGTTTCTCTCTCTCTCTCTCTTCCTCTCTCTCCCTCCCACTCTATCTGTACAAAAAAATGGAAAAATATCCTCGGGTGAGGATTAAAAAAAAAAAATATGTGGCCTTTTGTGATTGCCTTCTTTCTCTTAGGATGTTTTCAAGGCTCATCCATGTTGTAGCATGCATCAGTACTTCATTTCTTTCTGTGGCTGAATAACTATTCCATTGTTCAAACAGACTAGTTTGCTTAGCCATTCATTAGTTGATGGACATTTGGGATGTTTCAACCTTTTGGCTATTTGTAAACAGATGTTATGAACATTCTGCGTACGAATTTTTGTTTTTACACCTGTCTTCAGAGTGGAACTGAGGGGTCATGTGGTAATGCTGTGTTTAATGTATGGAGGGATCCCAACGACTTCTTTTGATGGTTTCTTCCAAAGCACAGATTTGATCTAACAAACTGCCTTTGGTCAGTAATACTGCCTTCTCATCCTCCAATTATTTTTTTTCTAATCAAAGTGATCATTGCCAGTCAGCATTTCATCACAGGCAATCACTGTCCTAATTAAGTCAAGCTAACATCATTTGTTTGTGTTAGTCCTTGTTTCTTATTGTGTTGGTGTCCATTTAGTTTTTAAAAAATATTTCACACTGCGTAGGGGCCCAAGGGAATAGGAAGCCACCAGAACAGGTTATCTTGAGGTGGTCACTGAAACCCCAAATTCTGAGCTCTGGAGACCTAAAAGCAAAGATTTAAAATATAAATCAGATCACATCCCTCTGGCCCAACTACCCTTATTTCAGTTCAATACATCAAACTCATTCCCACTTTCATTTGCTGTCTCTGCTGACTGGAGCCCTTTCCCCAGTTGTTTCCAGGGTTGTCTATCATTCAAAGCTCAGTTTAAATATCCCCTCCTAATGGAGGCCTCCTCCATTCATACCATCTAATACTGCTTCATTCCCATCACATTCTATCTCTTACCCTGCTCTACTTTTTTTTTGCTGCATTTAATCACTCTGAAATCCTTATTTGCTTGTCTGTTATCTGTCCTCTCCACTAGAATGTATGTTTATGAGAATAAGGACCTTGTCTGACCTGTTTTCTGCTGTATCCCTAGTGCCCAACAGTACCTGTATGTAGCAGATGCTCTGAAAATATTTGCTAAATGAACAAAACTAGGACAGACTTTGGTAGCAGATGCTACATATTCAGTGGGAAAGCTAAATTGTTTTTATTATTAATATGGAATAATTTAACACAGTGCTCTAACACTGAAATACAATTGAGAGACCTCCAACTTTTACTTTCACCCTTCTTACCACTGGCAGAATGGTTTTAAACGGCAAGCATGTGCACAATGAATTTTTTCTTATATATATATTTTTACTCAGTCTGTACCTCTTAATTGCTTTAGGACTCTCTCTCCTTTCCTCATCCTTGAAGAATTGGCTCTATCATAACCTGTATTTAGGCAATTTGCTTCTTCAATGAACAAATGAATTCATTATTCATTCATTCATTTAATAAAAAGGTACTGAGAGCCTATCAGCTAAGTAAACAAGAAAATGGACAGTAAAGAAAAAGGGCAGGGTCTATTATCTCTAGTGATGGCAAAGGGCGAGAAACAAAAATACCTTGGAAATCACTAAAGGGCAGAACATGGGCTGAGGCCCCTGTACATGATAACACTAGGAAGCTCCCCTTTTGTTCAATAATAAAGAAAGTGAGATTTAGAAAGGGACTGGAGAAAACATTTGTTCATTCATTCAACAAATTATTATTGAGCATCTTCTATGTCACATATAACCCGCTAGGTTGTGCAGATGATCAGGGAACAAAATAGGCAAGGTAGTTCTTCCCACGCATATAATATTCTAGTGTGGGATATGACAAAACAGACAAGAAAAAAAATCAGAGATGAGTGCTCTACAGAGAAATCAAACTGGGTAATGTGACTGGCACTTTAGGCTGAGGGATGGGAAATCAAGGAAGGGCTCTGAGAAGGTAACATTTAACCTAAGCCTGAACAAGAGGCAACCAGCTTTCAAATAAAGGGCAAAGAATGTTCTTCTCACAAGTGTAAAGGACCTAAGGCAGTAATGAGCTAGAAATATTTAAAGGGCAGACAATGTGTGGCTGAAGCAGAGTGGACAAAAAGGAGAATGGTTAGATGAAAGGAGAGGGAAGCGAGGGTCAGTTCACGTAGGACTTAGATTACGATATGGAGAATGGACTGAGAAGTGGCTCCTGTAAGCATAGTCTTGACCAGGGTGGTAGCAGTAAAGATGGAGAGGCACCAACTGATTAGGAAATACTATTAACTTTACAGGCAAAGTCTCCCTCTAAGTCACACTTGGTCTGTGATGTTATCCCAGTCCCATGTTTGAGGGTAGAGGTGTCACTTTGACAATAAAGGCCCCCAACGCATAGGGTACTTGTGGGATGTGCCTGACAACCAGCCAGCCAAACTTACACTTTTAAATTCTTGAAACTTTGCCTTGAATGGGCCACATATGCCAAACGCAGGGCAAGAGGCCCTTTTGAAAATAGGAAGAGTTCAACCACTTGAGGCAGATTTAGAACTCCACTTGCAGGTTTCACTTCCCAGCAATGGGTACCCATTAAGAAAATAAAACGACGGCGCGCTCTCTCAAACCTTTTGCTTGCCCATCTTGTAAGCAAATTTAAGAGTTGCCATTGGGCGAAAACAGGTGCAAGAGCTGAAGATTGGGACTGCGTTTAGCCTTCCACATTTCCAAGTCATTTGCCAGGGCCAGGACCCAAAACTGTGAATTTGGGGATAGGGGTAGTGGCAAATCCTTCCATGCTTTGAACATATATCACTCGTTTTGTCCCCAGGCCCAAGATGGTCCCTACAGGATGGCTGAACCTGAACCTCAGCTTATTCTTTTTTTTTTTTTTAAGTATGTTTTTATTGACTTTTTAGAGAAAGGGGGAGAGAGATGGAAGAAACACCGGGAGGGCCGCCCTCCCGCATGCGAGCCCCCAATCCGGGCATGTGCCTTGACCAGGAGTCAACCAGGACCTCTCAGTCCATGAGAGGACGCTCAATCCACTGAACCATACCAGCCGGACTGAAGCTTATTCTTAACGCTCATACTTCTCCACGAGACGCAGGCTCTCCGGCCATTATCTGCATACGGCAAAGCAGGCTGTAATCCACGCCGGGGGAAGAAGGGCGCAGAAGCCGGGCTCACACGACGGGTTTCTACCCCGCCGCCCAACCGCAGCCGGAGCAGTGACGTCCACCTCCCACCGCCCTCCGGGTCTCCCACTTGGGACTCGAGGATTGGATCTCGCCTGGCACCGCCCCCTCCCCAGGAGTGAAGGGAAGGGGCACCCAGTTCCCCGGGCTGCACCTTTTGGAGAAGAGTAAGCAAGTACAAATATTGCAAAGCCAAGGGAGCATTTAGACCCGAGGGTCAGGCTCCGGCCTCGGCCCTGCGTCCGCCAGCCCGACAGGAGGGTGGGGAGCCCGGGATCATCGTTACTGACCACCTCTAGCCAGAACCTCAGTTCCCTGCATCCCGCACCGTGCGCGCTCCCCTGGGGGCTCGGGCTGCACCGGGGCGCGAGGTCTCCCGCCCCCGTTACCTTGTAGAAAGTGACTGTATCCAGGGGAAGGGCACCCTTAGTGTGCAGGCCGCTGCTGCCCTGCGGAGCGGAGAGGAGGAGGAGGAACAAGAAAAAGGGAAACAGGGGGGCGAGAGCAGCGGCGCGGGGCACGGCGGCAGCCATCACGCCGGGTTCTGGCGGTGGCAGCGAGTGAGGCTGTAGTGGAGAACGCGGCGCCGGTCACGTGACCCAGAGCCAGCCCGGGAGGCTCACGCCCGCCTCGGCTGAGAGGGAGGGGTCACGTGGGGGGCGGGGAAATAGGGCTTCAGAGAAGCTCGCGAGGTCCCAGGGTGAGGGAGGAGCGACGGCGTGTGGAGAACCGTGGGGGAGGGGGAAGGCGGGAGGCGGCGAAGGCAGAGAGAGAGGGAAAGAGGGAGGCTGCGACCGCACGCGCATGCGCGCGCGCACGTGCTGAGGCGCGCAACCGCCCAGCCGATCTCAGGTGCTCCTCCGCGTGAGGAGAGGCGCGAGGCGCTGGCTGGGCGCCTCTGCAGCGCTGGGTTCGCTCTTGCCTCGTCTCTGAAGAGGAAGAAGCCAGCCATTATTTCTTCCTGCCTTCGGTCCGTCAGGCAGTCGGTTGGGATCCACTACTACTTTCGGTCAGTCAGCCTGACAGGTGTTCCCCGTAGTCAGTTGGCCCGGTGTGGCCCTCAGGCAGCCATACTCCCTAAGCCAGGCCCCGAGGTGGGCAGTGTGGCGTCGGGGCCTCCCGGATAGTCCGGCCTCGCGGGGGACGCCAGGCTTGACGGAAAGCTGAGTACGCCTCCCCGCTGGGCCCCGGGCTCCGGGAAGATTAAACAGAACATTACATCCCGCAGATGTTTGTTCGGGGCATGGATTGTTTACACCGATCGCAGTCTGAGGCTCACGGTACAAAGGGCAGATGGGAGATGGTCAGACAGCGTCGTGAAAACACCAACGCCGTCGCGGTGCACCCTCTTCCGCGGGTTTGCCAAACGCGCGTGGGCCCCGCGTGCCAGCCGCGCCGGAAGCCCCAGGTGAACATAGGACGGCGGTGGCTTGTCAAGACGGCTCGTGGAAGAAGAGGAGGCATTTACCAGCCCAGCCGGGGGAACAGGGTCAATCTGGGCAGGGCACCCGGGGCACGTTGTGGACGGTCTCGTGAAGCTAAGAGGAGCGGCCCCATCCAGGGTCTTCCCCAGGAGAGACTGCAGACGTGCTGCCCTTCCCGAGTGAGCCGAGTGCATCGGGGGGGAAGAAGGCTGACGCCCGGCCAGTTACCGGGTCTGTTGCAATAGTCTAGGTCGGAGAAGTTAACGTCCTCCTGCAATGGGACATCATAGTAAGGGTGAAGCGGTAAGGATGGAATCGAGTCACTTTCGTAGGGTGGGCTTCGGGAGACTTGATGAGCAAATGGATGAGAGAGTAAGAATAAATTACATAACACGGAACGAGGGGGTTTCTAACCAGTGTGTGTGTGTGTCCAATGAAGTGTGCGCGTGCAAAGTGGACACTTTGATTTTGATTTTTGCCCTAATTCAGTAAAATGAACTACAGAGACAAATGACGAAAGTTGGAGGACATGACAGAAGTTAGAGGAGGGGAAAATTACTGTGAGCTCAGGTGGTTCAGAAGGCTTCATGTAGGATGTGGAGATGGAATTAAGCCTTGGAAGAAAGGATGTTTTAGGTTGAGAACAAGTGAAGAAGGAGCAGAAAGTGGGGGTGAACGTGACGCTTTGGGGAATGACTGGCTTGGCTGGAAGGAATTCTCAAAACAGTAGTTAAGACAGTTTTAAGCTCAGGTAGGGGAGAATGTTGAACATGAAACTAAGAATTTCCTGTTTTGTCTTGTAGTCAATAAGGAGCTATTAAGAGTTTTTAGAACCCTTTATATGACATTTAGACTGTTTTAAGTTATTCACATGTATATATAAATTCTTTGGGTACACCTAGTTAATATGATTGATCAGGAATGACTTTGTAGTCATGGTTAGTTTAGAAGTAGGTTTTGAAAAAAGTGACGGAAGTGGACTGGTTGGAGAGGGAAGGTTAATATTGGTACTTTTTCTATGAATTGCAAAAATACAGTAATTGTCTCTGCTTCCTGTTAATAGCACCCTGGTCTCAGTCAGTTATCTCATGATATGATTAGATTTTTGACTTCAGGACCCTGACAGTCTACACAAATAAGCCAGGTATAATACCTCATGTTTAGGAAGTCTCACTGTTGACATGGATATGGAAAATAAAAAAGCTCACACTGGTTAGGAGTAGGAGTAGGAGGCAGGGCATGTTACATGACTGTGCACATGACTCTCTGTAGCGGCTGGAGTAAGGAGGAAGAAAAGTGTCATGGTCTGCTAAGGTAACATATAAACTCTCTCCCATCTTTTTTTTTTTTTTTTTTTAATCTTCACCCAAGGAAATGGTTTATTTTTTTTTTTTATTTATTATTTTTTTTAATCCTCACCCGAGGATATTTTCCATTTTTTGTACAGATAGAGTGGGAGGGAGAGAGAGGAAGGAGAGAGAGAGAGAAACATCGACGTGAAGGGACACATCGAGTGGCTGCCACCCGCACGACCAACCAGGGCCGGGGACAAACTGCAACCGAAGTACGTGCCCTTAGCGGGAACTGAACCCGGGTCTCTCCGGACCGCAGGCCGACGCTCTAACCGCTGAGCCAAACTGGCCAGGGCTCTCCCATCTTTTTTCTAACATTATCAAGCCAATGAGATCCCAGTCTCACTGACCGCTTTACTATTCCTTATATACACAAGGCATGTGCCTGCCTCAGGATCTGTGCACTGGTTCCCCGCCTCTAGAACACTTCCCCCACCCCACCCCCCAAGATATTCATATGGCTGGCTCCTTCATTTCCCTCAAGTTTTTTTTTGTTTTTTTTTTAATCCACATCTGAGGACACTTTTTCCACTTTTTGTTCAGGTAGAGTGGGAGGGAGAGAGAGGAATAGAGAGAGAGAAACGTTGACGTGAAAGGGACACACATCGAGTGATTGCCACCCACACCACCCAACCAGGGACGGGGACAAACTGCAACCAAGGTATGTGTCCTTAGCAGGAACCAAACCCTGGTCTCTCTGGACCGCAGGCCGACGCTCTAACCGCTGAGCCAAACCAGCTAGGGCTGGAACACTAATATTAAATAATTATATAAATAAACATATAATTACAAATTGTGAAAATTCCTAAGAAAGAAAAGTTGAGGGCCTATGAAAGAATATGATGGGAGGATTAATTTGTCTCTCACATTTATTTATTTATTTATTTGTTTATTTATTTTTATCCTTACTCAAGGACTTTTTTGTCTTTTGTTCAGATAGAGTGGGAGGGAGAGAGAGGAAGAGAGAGAGAGAAAGAAACATTGACGTGAAAGGGACACATCGAGTGTTGCCACCCGCACGACCCAGCCAGGGCCGGGGACAAGCTGCAACCAAGGTACATGCCCTTAGTGGGAACTGAACCCAGGTCTCTTCTCTCTGGACCGCAGGCTGACGCTCTAACCGCTGAGCCAAACCGGCCAGGGCTGTCTCTCACATTGATGTCTGTCTGTCTCTCTCTCCTTCTTTCCCCCTCCCTCCCATCCACCTTCCTTTCCACTCCATCTAAAAAAAAAAAAAAAGTCATAGGAAAAATATCCTTGGGTGGATATTTAAGCTGATACTTGAAGGATGAGGAGCCAGTAATGTGATTATCTGGGAGAAGAGCATTCCAGTGAGAGGGAACAACTATTACAAATGATGTGATTTGGAAAGTACTTAACATGTTGTATTACATGTGGTGGGCAGACACTAAAATGGCCCCCAATGATCTCTGTCTCTTGATATTTACACTCTTATAATCCTCTCCCTTTGAGTGTTGGCAAGATCTTTGAGCAATGGAATACAGAAGAGGTGATGGAATGTCACTCCAGTGATTTGTTTACATAAGATTATGATTTTTATCTTGCTAGGAAGACATCTTAAAAAAGCAAAGAACTGAGTAGCATTAGGCCAACAGTTAATTGGAAACTGAGGCCCTCAGACCAATATGAAGGAACTGAAGTACACCACAACTATGTGAACTTGGAAGCAGATTCCCTATTTGAGTATTCAGATGAGAATCAGCCCTAGTCAACATCTTGATTATAGCCTTGTCAGAGACACTGAAGCAGAAGACCCAACTAAGCTAACTTTGGACTCCTGACCATAGAATACATGAAATTATAACTGTGTTTTAAGACTCTAAATATGTGGAAATTTGTTATGTGGCAGTAGATAAATGACACCCACAATTTTATAAATACACTTACTATATTTTTGTTCAAGTCATTGATGAAAGTGTTTTACAGAGCAGTGCCAAGTCAGAATGCTGGTTCACTCCACTAGAAGTCAAGTTGATATTGATCAATGAGTTAACACTCCCTTAAGTTTATTCAAGAAATGTCCTTAATTGTGTTTCCACTTGGTCTGTATTTAATTTTATATCACAAAATTTATTTCCTTTTTCTAAATCCTCACCCGAGTATACTTTTTTTCCCATTTATCTTCAGATAGAATGGGAGAGAGAGAGAGAGAAAAGACAAACATCGACGTGAGAGAAACACATCGATTGACTTCCTTCTGCACAACCCCAACCAGGGCCAGGGACCAAACCGCAACCAGGCACGTGCCCTTGACCAGAATTGATTCCAAGACCCTTTGGTCTGTGGGCCGATGCTCTAATCACTAAGCCAAACTGGCCAGAGCCATATCACAAAATTTCTTATCAGATGCTCTATCAAAATACCATATATACTGTGTGTAGTAGTTCTATCCAAAAAGATAATGTGGTTAATCAGGCATAATTATTTATAAATCCATACTGACTTAATGATTATATTATTCTGTTTAAAAACATCTTTTGGATAGTTCATTCTAGACTCTTGTCTAGATCAATGCTAAGATCTTTCACTTATGGTTTGCAGATTTTATCACCTTATAAAATTTAAAAAAAATTTTCAGTGATAACTAGTTTTTTGTAATTTCTAGCAGTTTTCCCATTCTTACACAAACCCTCAGATTTCATTCAGTGGTTTATTGGGTTAACCTTAAAAGAGAAACCCTGTGCTCATTAGCAATCACTCCCCTATTCCTTCCCAAATTACCTTCCTAGCCCTAGGCAACCACTAATCTACTTTGTGTCTGTATAAATTTGCCTATTTTAGATATTTCATGTGAATGGACTCATATAATATGTGGTATTTTGTGACTGGTTTCTTTCACTTAGCGTAATGTTTTTAAGGTTCACCCATGTTGTAGCATGTATCAGTACTTCTTTCCATTAAAAAAGTTTTTTTCTTTTTATTGATTTTTAGAGAGAGAGGAAGGGAGAGAGAGAGAGAAACATCAATGAGAGAACATCAATTGGCCGCCTCCTGTATGCCCCCCACTGGGGATCAGGCCCACAACCTGGGCACGTGCCCTGACCAGGAATCAAATCTGCAACCTCTTAGTGCATGGGTCGACGCTCAACCACTGAGCCACACTGGATGGGCTCCTTTTTAAAATTTTTTATTTTTTTATCCTCACCTGAGGACATTTTTCCATTGATTTTTAGATAGAGTGGGAGGAGGGAGACATTGATGTGAGCATCAGC